ACTTAGTAACACACGTACAGCAGGTCCTGGAGAGCACTTAGTAACACAGGTACAGCAGGTCCTGGAGAGCACTTAGTAACACACGTACAGCAGGTGCTGGAGAGCACTTAGTAACACACGTACAGCAGGTCCTGGAGAGCACTTAGTAACACACGTACAGACTACAGCCGGTCCTGGAGAGCACTTAGTAACACACGTACAGCCGGTCCTGGAGAGCACTTAGTAACACACGTACAGCAGGTCCTGGAGAGCACTTAGTAACACACGTACAGACTACAGCCGGTCACAACATAACCGTCACGTGATATACGTATCGTCTCGTTTTATATTATACATAGTTGATATTAAGATAGTCAGGGAGGATTATTCTCCTAGAATTGTATTCCGCCAGGCAGATGGTCGGTTTATGGCATATTTCTTATTTCTAGATTTGTGTCTCTGGAATTAACAATAGCCAAGATAAACTTACAAGTGTACATATATTTACTGTCATAACTATTAATAGGTAACAATTATATGTTATAATGAGATAAGACATAATTGCAAAAACTTTACCAGCAATTGACGCCCAAGTGTGTAAAAACAAAACGGTGTCAGGTACTGATAATAAAAACAACATACTTCACTCATCCATATCAAATGCTAATCTTTTTGTAGTGGAGTCAGAAACACATAAGCATTAAAAACTCGAAATAAACTCACAGGTGCAGGTTGATAAACTGAGCAGTGGGGAGATCACTCTAACAATCCCTACTAAAATGGTGATGTATGAGGCGAAGGCGAGAGCCAGTTACATGGGCTTCCAATATACAAGCGTTAAACACTGGTACATGAAGCAACATCAGACACTTTCTCAGAGACTCTGGTTTAGGTACAATCTTGATTTAAAGACGCAACCTTTACCTTTGCTAGATAATAATACACGAATGTTCTCGGGAATACGTCAATACTGATTTCTCAATTTAATCACAGAAATCTCTTGCTTCTTAAAATAGCTCAGCCAGTAGTTCCGCTAATATCTAAGTCAGTAGTTTACGTTACCACTAGATAACCACAGGTACCTTCTGATCCTGGCAGGGTGTGGAGCATTCCTCCTCGTTTTGTGGACTTGTCTGCTGATACGAGCTCATATCATAGTTACCCAGCAAACTAAAGCTCCCGTTTACAAGAGGCAGGCCACGCTCTCAACTGCTACCTGATATCTTACTCTTCTACCCCGAGATTAAAATTCAAATATTTATAATTTATTTCTAAACTTTTACTCAGAAATAATATCAATGGTCTAGAATCTAGATACTAAACGCTAAACTACAGCAGGCCAATTTCATACAATCAGAACATAAGATTTCTGGTTGTGCAGTGTGCATTTGAAACATAGAACTTCTTGCAGGTGAATACTATATTATGACGATACGATGTTTACATGATTTTCTTGGATTCAGTTAAAAACTGCCATGTTTTATACCTATTCATTTTGATTGTTATGAGACATAATCTATTGAGTTTAAATATTCACCAACACTCACAAAAATGTTCCCATTTTGAAGTTTTACCATTGTATTTTAACAATTCCATTTAGTGAGCTCAACACTTTTAACTTGTCAACATTACGTTACAGAAATTAAATCAAATTTGCAACTGCACGTCGAGGTCTAAACATGGATAATTTAATTATTCCTGGTAAAGTTGGCAGTTGGTTGTGTGAACGACTCGTCCTTTTCAACAGACATCGGATTACATAATGGTAACACAATCAACACTTGACAGCGCTCGACTCAATTCGATTAATAAAACAAAATCCAATTAAGCATCACCGGAAAAAGCGCAGTCAATTTAAGAAGCTGTAAAGACTGGCGACAGTTTGTGCGATTTAATTCTCAGAGACGTTTTGCTGCTTGTGGCTGTTTAGTGAAGTGTTTAGCGTGGTGGGCGGTGTCTGGGAGTTGTACAAACTAGAGGTCCTGCAATGCAAGGTGTGTTGCTTTTGGTGCTGATTGTAATAAGTGGAGTTATATCAGATGAGGGTGAACTGGAGACGTTTGTGGGGGATCAGGATGAGGTTGTTGGTGAGCTCAGTTAAATAACAGTTTACTGCGTAGTGAATAATATGTGCTCGACATATCAGATTTTACTATATCAGATTGTATTTTATATATTATGTAAATATCTTCCAACATGCCATTACTACCAGGAGAAGCACTAATTGGTGTAGTTGACAAGGCAGGAAGACTGAGAATCGGGCTGATTACAACAACGGATCTGGAGATAAAGTGGAAAACAATAGCCAGAAATATCATAGATCTGGAGATCTCATCATCGGGTTCGACTGATTGGATTACTTTTCTGTATCAAAGTTATGACAAGGAATTAAAATCATAACAATATGTTCTTTGATATAATGTTAAGATTTAAATTTCATTTTAAAAATATTTACCAGACGATAAAACTAGAATAAAATATTCACATTCAGGAGTTTTATGGGCAGTAAATGCGAAGTCACTTCATCACATGATACCGTTTACTGACGAGACCCTGAAAAGATTGCAGGTGGTGCCCTCGTTCGAGCTCGGAGAAGGGTTCAAGGTTCTCACTGTCAGCCCAGATAACGTTATCTGGACAAGTAAGCACTATTATAAGCTATTTGCTCTTTATGCAAGATATCAGGTACAAGTTGTTAGACTATTATAAGAGATTCATTCATTGGACTCGGGCCAAATTAATATCTCCCAATCGAACCGTGAATTATTTTATCCGCCCAACCTAATATCATTTCAGTTTCAACAGCCAATATATTTCACTCAAACCGAACGGGTGAATGGCAGGAAGAATCTCTGAACGGTATTAGCAGAGGGTAGGTTCCCCCGCAGGATATATATCCAAAATGGAACAGCGATTTATGAATTTAGTTCCCACTTTCATCCACTCTGATGTCTAGTCATACAATTGTCTATTAAACATATGAACTAAGCAATTTGAATTATGACGCGAGTAGAGTAGAATTCTCGCCTAAATTTTGAACTTCTACTCCATATTTGCTGTCATAATTCCTTCAAAACTTCATGAAACCTAATGAGAACTTACAGTATGCAAACTCTGTCCAGAAAGTGTGAGAACGCAAACGATCTGTCTATATCAGAGTCGGGTGACGTTTGGGTGATTTGTGATTCTCAACTAGGGAGGTATGATCTTGCATCTACTATGATAATAATTCCAGAATTCTATAACCAGTTATGTAATTGAACCCTCTTAAAACTTCCTTCCCACGAATTAACCCCACACAAAAAGGATGGTTAATACGATTTTGCTACTGCTTTTAAACGGTTAGATATTGTATGAAGCTCCCACACGACAAGGGATGTTGTTGGTCGACTAAGACTGAAACTGCAGGATCACCGGAGGAAAAGACTGGGATCTCACGTATAATGGCAAAGGAGGCAGTCACGTGGCAGCTATAGGGACCAACTATGTCGTCTACACTACAACCATCGATAACAGCGACAAAATGATCAAGTAAGTGGTAGTGGTATCCAATGAAATTATAAGGACGACGCGGCAAAGAAAATTGAAAGGTTGTCAAAGTTGAACAGCATTAGCTAATTTGTCGTAGCTTCGGTGAGTGGATTTAAAGATTTAAACACATCTTTATGTTGTAACCACTTCCTCAAGTTGAGACAAATTCTCCGTCATGAAGACATGCTAAAAACTATTTTATACGTTAATCATGATAGCGGCAAATGCAGGCACGACCTATCAAGACAAGTTACACGACATAAAATTATATATTATTGAGTTTTGGCAAAATGTTTATAAACCCTCTACAAATTGCGAATGCGCATTTAAAGCAGGTTAATAATTACTTGACTGACAGTCAACAAAATTAAAACCGGGATTCCACCAATTTAAGGAGTATGTTTGAGAGCGGAGGAAAGCCAGAAGCACGATCTGACAGCAGCGATGTCAGCTACTACGACGGCAGCATCTGGAAACTCAGCAAAGATGGCAGCAAAATTGTAGAATATCGAGACGACCAAAACAACCGCCTCCGTAGAGTTCGAGAATTTGAGCTAGGAAAGTTTAACGCGGCCAGGATCTCGGTTGGGCCGTACACAAAACCGGTAGAAAAACCTGTGGAACCCACGCAACCTCCATACTACCCACCAGGTAAAATATAATTAAATACTGTTATTAAGTTTTGTAGGGTTATGGCAGGATTAGGGAATGATTATGGACGAGGTTTATTAAAAGCAAAGTTAACCGGAGTATTGTGACTTAACCAAGATATCTAACCTAAACCTTTAAATATGAAGAGTAATTCGAAATTAAAGTTGAAATTAAAAACTGAAATCTTGACTTGTATCGGTCATCGGAGTTAGATATTTGACATTGACGCGTTATGAAGATCGAGAAAGATAAGACATGATTGCAAGAATGGTTAAATGGTGGATTTTCTAAAGACAAAGATAAAATCAGAATAATAGTTTGGAAAAGATTTTTAAAGATTGCAACGATGGCACGACTTCAAATTGCAGGACAGCGTAAAGCATTATTATTTCATCAGGCCAGGTTAGCCAATGAAATTGCAACGATATTTTAACTAATTGAAAAAAGAAATAATTTATTTAGCATCGAACTAGTATTGAAACATCAGGACAAAGCATTTTTGTGGTCCAGAGGTTGAAATCCTAAATCGCCTAATATCATTGTGTTTCCAGTTTTACAGATTGAGCGTAATTCTACAAAGAGCGTACAACACTACAACAAGGTAATCTTCTACAACCTTTAAATGGATCCCAAACTCCAAACTCAACCCTACTGAGCTGCATATAATTATAATTCAAATTGTACCTCTTAATATTGTATCTCGTATCAGAACTGACAATGTCTAAAGTAAAATCTTAATAAAATTGTCGGTATAATTGTTAGTTGAATATATGTAACTATATTGTGTTTTTCAAGTGGTACAATTTTTCCTATTGTTTCGGACAAAAGAAGAACAGATATTTTGGTCACTGAAAACGAATTGAAATTAGAATTTGTAATTATCAAAGATCGTGCTTTAAAAATCGTGCTTCAAATTGATCAAAAAAGTTTTTCACGAAAGCTTCATTAGGAAGCATAAGACGATTTCTCCTCCTTAGCTTAGGAACGTGACATTTCGTCCAGATATGCCGCAAACAACTTGTGCTGAAAATTAATGAGTTTTACGACACGATTTCGACAATATAGTTAGTGAGCTGGCCGTTAAAAGTTAAATACTAACGAGACAACGCAAAACTAATTTGAAATAAACGGAGCCTCATCCCTTATGAGGGTCGCTCACATTACTTAGCTTACTCAAACGATCTCAAGAACTAGAGCAGCTTTTACCAAAACCGTGACAAATTGCACTTAAAAGCAGCAATTTTATTAATTTTGACAATCGAAGATTTTCAGAAATTGCCTTACATGGTAGGTTTCACTAAATGGAATGTAACATTGGTGAAGTAACCAATGGTAGTTTGTAAAATCTAATAACTTACCCCTTCGATGTAGTTTCTTATGTTTATCTTCTCATTTTGAGAGTGAGCCCCATCGTCCCCGGCTCCCATAGGCAGCAACATCACGCTCTTTCCTGGAAATTGTTACTCTTTTCTAATCATTTTCATACTAAAAAGTATGCACAGCATGGCTGTTCTAACCGTTATAAAATTTCAATCAACGAAAATATTCCTTTCTTGAATTTCGACAAAAACAACACTGAAAACAATAACAGAATTCAGAATTGTTCTCAAAACGTACCAGTAGTTTTCTGGAAAGTCAGAGTGACAGGGATGCTTCCTCCCTCTCTGGTCAGATCCGGCTCACAACCGTACACTGAAACATATATTCCATTATTACTAATTCCTGGATGCAATCAAAGACTTTTTATCTGACAGAACTATTGGGTTGCAAGTAGAAGGAAAACTTCCTGGTATCCGGAAAGTGTTATCATGTGCAGCACAAGGATCTGTTTTAGGTCCTAAATTTAAGTGCATGATGTTAAATGGTAAATTAGCAAACTGTCATGCAGCAGCGGTTGGAATTTCTTAATTTAACTACAATTATACTACTGTACATTATCTGAAAGAAGAATCCGTGGAGATCTTACAGAAACCTTATAAATATTTAGTGGTTTAATAGAATATGGTTCAGATATTTTAAATATCAGTAGATCAGGTATGAATATTGTTTCAAGATAAGATGCAATATTAAAAGCGTGCACGAGAGAGGTATGCAACGTACAGCAAGAAATACCCTACCAGTAGATGTTATCACTGGAAGTAGAATTGAAGGAGATAATTATTTTGAAATTAAGAGTTAGCATAATGATTAATGATTATCTGTGGTTTCGACCCTATTTGGCAAAAAAGAAGTTTATTAATTTGAATTAGGTCGTTTGGGTATAATTTATTAAAAACATATATTTAATGAATATTTGTGATGATCTTATGTATCCTAATTTTTCGATTTCACTACAGTTTACATTTTCATTACCAACAAAGAAGGGTTAACAGATGATAATAAGAAAATAACGGATATTTTAACAGACAATTACGTACCAAGTTTGGTGGCATTACGTCCGGCTTGGTACTGGGAATCGTTAAAGTCAGTTACCCACCAGTTTCCACCGTGCTCCATCCTTACAGTGCATTTGTTGGGAGAGTTCAGCTCAGCAAACACTTTCTTGACGTGGTCACACGTGTCCTTCTCAACCTGTTCGTGGTGGAGACTTGTTAACAGCGGTGAAATAAGGAAAATGTACTCGCAGAGAGGGATGAAATAGTACACTAGCTGGTGCACAAGTCACTAGACTTACCAGTAGTACTGGTAGAAGATGAATTTGAATTGCACAAGCAATAAATTATTTAAATTAATTAATAAATGAATCGCAAAACCATGTGCCTCACTGATTGGTCACTAGTCTTTTCATTATAAAACATAAATGGACGACGGCGCGCGACGTTAACGGATCAGCTTTTATACCAGTGCAGCGACGTGAGATATCTGAATAGTATTACAATTTCTAACCACCGGGCACCGACGATCATTTATGTTTTATCTAAAGCCACGTTAGGTAATGTTTTTTATATATAATACTCTTGTATACTCTTCTTATTCTGTTTACGCCAATTCTGTGCTTTGCTATTTCTTTACCTTTTAGAACAAGATAAGCGCATTTGACCGTGTAAAAAAGCGCAAAAAGTTAGCACTGTATACATATAATAATTGCAATTTAAAGCGAAATTTCATTTTGCACTTGACAAATATATTGCCCATCTCGCAAAAAGCGAGCCGCCATATCTGGACTCTAACTAGATTGCTGGATAACCTTTCTTAGATGACGATCGAGGCAATCATAATTTGCCACGTAGGACGAGGTCCTCAACTAAAACTATGTATCAATTTGTTAAAAGCTGCAGGACTTAATATCGTCAGCTGACATAATTTAATCAACCAGGATTATATAACTCAACAAAATTAACACGTCATTTTGTAACTTTAGACCTCTTATCTCGCTTTAGGACTGCCTGCTATTATACCAGGTGACAGAGATGTGTATAGAGTCTGGTCACAAGTATAAAAGAGGCAGGTCTCAACTTAAGAATCTCCACAGTTTGTAGAACACACACAAGCAGGCGTATTACTACTGATCAGAAGTAAAATGTTGAATCACTGTCAATTAATTCTTAATTCACCTTCGTGGAGGTATAGAAAATATAAAAGTTATAATCTAACTATTATTATATATATTATATGGTGCAAATCAAATTAAATAATGAAAAACAATTATTAAAAAAACCACTCGTCTAATTAATAATCAGCGTATAATAGCTTTATAACATTATCAGATCATGAAGCTTGTAAATGCACACCTGCTCGATCGTGTGATTAGGCACGATTCTGATCGAGAACTTTCCAATAACTTTCCTGGGGATAACAGTTTTACAACCCCCTCCAGAGAAGGCTCCTTCTATTCCGTGAATACTCAGACTTGGGTACCTCCACCTGGTAGGATAATACTATCTTAAATAGGAGTTGTTATTAAAACTGAGAACGAGACAGTAATCATATGATTAGCGATATAAGCATTAGCAGCTGTTATCTTAGATGAGGACTGATTCAGGATAGCCAAAATAAGCTTTGACTTATAAATTGTTGGGTATTAGTTAGTCTACAGTTTATTACTTTTAAGAATTTTCAGCTGTTAGTATTTACAGGTCGGACGTTTATAGCTGAGTTATAGCTTTCATGGTAAAGTTGGACTAATCTATAATTCGTTCGATTCATCAATTATATGAGCTGTTAGTACAGGGTGGGCCAAAAGTCAGTACCCATACGTTGGCCTTAATAGCTCCGCCGTGTTTTATATTTGAGAGCTGTTGCTTTGCAGATTGCATACTGTACTTACTGGTTCGAGGATTCCGTCGTCAAAATTTGAAAATTCGAATATTTTAGACCACGCCCATTCAATATTAAAACACCTATATTGTTTTCTCTGAACATGCTGAACGCCTAATTTTTTCAGAGACGGTAGATTATCAAATGTTACATATGATCTGAAAACATGAGGCAAAACGGATTAGAAATGACGAAGTTATCAAGCATTTTCTGTATCTCGTTAACAAAATTGACTGGGTGATTATGTGACACCGTGACACGACACCTTAATTGGGCTCTCTTAACAATTCCCATAATGTTTAACGGGGTAGTTAACGGGGTCACCTTATCACGTGATTAGGTAATCCAATCACCTGATCACACGTAATGAATAAACTCGTTATGCTTCATATCTCGGTCATCTGAGAAGCTACAGTTTTAATTCTTTCAGGACAAACGTAATTCGAATGGCCAAACACAATTTAATAACATTAAGCTTGATCCAATTATCCAAACTATCAAATAAATGTGAAAATGAACCTCCATTTGAAAAAAATGAACGCGAATATTTTTCGAGTTGACAAATTCCTCGAACCAGTGGTGGTACTAAGTCATATCAGAAGGAAGTATTTAAATTGGGCACTCAGTGACTGAGCTATAAAGGCCAACGTATGGGTACTGACTTTTGGCCCACCCTGTATTTAGGTCGACATTTTTTCTCTTTCACTTTTTCTCATTTTCAGCTGTTAGTATTTACAGGTCGGACGTTTATCAGCTTGAGTTATAGCTTTCATGGTCAAGTTGGACTAATCTATAAGTCGTTCGATTCATCGATTATATCAGCTGTTAGTATTTAGGTCGACATTTTTTCTCATTCACTGAGTAGAGTGCCTGATCGAGATAATTCTTTCTGGTATGACTTGCTATTTTTTAAAAAATAAAGGTTAATTTTTGTAGCTTTAAGTCATTTTGAATAATTGGATCGAGTCAAATTGTAATGAATTGTGTCTGGCCATCAAAATTACACATGTCCTGGAAAGATGAAAGCTGTAGCTTCCAGATGATCGAAGTATCAAGTTTATTCATTATGTGTGATCAGGTGATTGGGGTGACACTAGATCCGCATTATGGCAATTGACGATTCCCGGAATCGTGCAGGAATCCCAACTAGGGAGTAGGGTGTCATATCACGCATACAAAAAACATATTTTAATGTTGCCATGGGGTGGCAAGTCCCCATACATCGTGGTCCGGTAGTTTCATTGCGTCCTAATATATGATCACACAATCAATTTTGCTAACGAGATTACAAATGCTTGATAAGACCGTAATTTTACCTCCGTTTTTCAGTTTTACCTTTGCTGGAGGACCTCCTCCTTTGTTTCCTTTTGTAGAGTCTCACAACCGACGTCTTTCTTGTATTCGTTCAGACAGAACTGTATTGGTTTGTAAACCTGACAGGAATATATATTATAGGGGGGAGGGGGGGAGGGGGGCCATTATAGGTGAAGATGTTTCATTGTGTTACGATCCGGCGGTTTGTTATTGGGCAGTGTGTATCAATCAGTAACACTGTAAATTCAGATCTTTACAAATAACCCTCTAAATTTCTAGTTACAAATTTTTAGAGTTCTAACCTTTTTCTCTTCTTCGGTCATTGGAACTACAGGCTCGTTGATTCCAGGAATGAGGATCTTGCCTTTTGTATCAACCAGTTTTGAGAGAACGCTCACACAGTCCACCATCGCTTCATGCCTAGAAAACACCATCGTGTAAGGATATTTTAGCAATAAAGCGGCAATATATTTATTAAATTATATGCCATATTGTAGCCATTTCAGACACTCTGTAACACATACTTAGCTCTTGATAATTAAAAATCAAATTTAATTTAGGCGCTACGTGTCTGGGCAGTGAGCATGCTAAATACTATTTTCACTAACAAACTCTTGCTATAAACACTTTATAAACACTTACACAGCTCCACCGTAGACACCACTATGGAGATCCTTAGCAGCACACTCAATCTCCACGAAGAAGTAGCAGACCCCTCTCAGTCCGTATGTGAGACAGGGCTTCTCAGAGCCCAGCCAGTAGTTATCACTTATACACACGAAATCAACCTCCTGAGATATTAACAAGGGTAAAGGTACTCATAGTCAGTTTTAATGGAGTCATCAAGCTTGCTATTTAATGTAGTCATCTTAACGTGGATGTGTGATGGGGATGTTTTAATTCTAGAACGGTCTAATATAATATATCGGTAATTGTTGTAGAGAAAATATGAGATTCCTGTGGGGATATTCAAAATTTAAATTTAAATCTTGGTTTACGTAATTGGGTATTCAAGATAAGGCCATTACGAATATTTTCTAATCTCACCATGATTTAAAAATTAGTCATTGTTGTCTTGCAAATCTTGGTATAGTGCATGCAGCTAGGACTTCAACCATTTGACGATTATATAGAACAATACACACATTGAAATATGATCTTACTTTATCATCGTACTCGCGAGAAGATTCCAGTAACTTTTTACAAACTTAAAATCGCCTGTTTCTTCATTATCATGATTATATAACAATTAAGGATCGATGAAATTCTGAAAAACGAATCCAACAAACGAATGAATTCGATTGAGAAACTCCAGGACAGGATTTGAGGATTACAAAATTTGTAGGATTATCAGATTTTTTATATAATTGAATTTGGAAGTGAGTTATGTTGAGAGATAAGAAAAGTATGAAGTCCTGAAGTTTAAGCTCTGCTTACATCACAAACTCAGTGAAATTGGTACGGAAACTTTCTAGAGCTTTCTAGCTTTCACAGGAATCGGGATACCCAGATAGATTATTGAATACATTAGTACGGTATAATATGCTATATTACACATACGGTACAACTTTGGCACATAATAGACAGTTTGGATATCTATATTATATATGTATCTAATAAATGTAACTTTCTAAGTTTCTTCAGAATGTTACATTTTAATCGTTTCTATTTCAAAGAATCACGGCTGTCATTACTTTTCAAAGATTTTGGTCACCAGATGTTTGTAGCCTCAAAATGTTAATGCAATAACTAAACCCATGGTAAAATAAAGTAATAACAATATTCTATTAAGTCCCGATTCTGAAGAAAATATTGATCTTATCTCGCCACATTGCTTGAACAGCCAAGTTAAGGCAAATAAGGGTCACTTTATGATTGAAGTCTTGAAATTTAGCTTGTTTGGGATCCCAACTTAAAGTACACGTTTAAAGGTCTTGTTCACAAGTTACCAGTTACCAGTTACCAGTTACCAGTTACCAGTTACCAGTTACCAGTTACCAGTTACGCGTTACCCGTTACCAGTTACCAGTTGCCAGTTACCAGTTACCAGTTACCAGTTACCAGTTACCAGTTACCAGTTACCAGTTACCAGTTACCAGTTACCAGTTACCAGTTACCAGTTACCAGTTACTTGTTCACTTCTCACAATCCCACACTTACCACCATGTTAAGGAAGCAGCAAGATCTGTACAAAAACAAAATGATCTGTCTTAAACTCTGCTATAAGCCTCATAACATGAAACCAATTATATAATTTCACAAGTTAACTTCCACAGAGAGTAGCGTTTGTGTTCTCTCAACACAGCCAAACTACTTTTCAGCTCCAGTAAACTTGTGCCGTTTAAACTTTTAAATACGTAATAAATAAATTTTCTTGTGACCAGCCAATTCTGTAGTCTGAACATAAAATAGTAAATTATAAGAACCTTGTTTTCAAATAAATCATCTTCATACATGCTTGCAAAACAGTAACAATTTTAACCTCTTTCTTATGTTAAGGTCTCAGGGGTGTCGACTGCCAGGCCCAGGGTCATAAAATCTTTATCCAAATAAAACTAATATTTTTTTCTATTGAACTTATTCTAAAATGCTCGCAGAATGACGCTTATGTTGATTTATTTCGTTTTCCAACGACTGATTATGGCGCCACGCTTGATTGAAGCACAACAAGGTGAGCTCAATGTTCATTAAGATTTTACATCATTCACTCGAAACATAACATTCAAAGCGATTTTCAGATTTCTTTGTAAAATATTGTCTGAAAGATAGTCTGAGTAAAATATTGCAGGGTTTGTGTATGGTCTGTATAGCGGAGATGCGGAAACAGATTGTGTGTGGAATACAGGTACTCCTGATAATGAAGACGTGCACGTTGATTGGTTCCGTGGTAAACGACTAATATACAGCTCAGACGGAGCCAAAAAAGGTTTGCGTCCTATGCTATGTACAGTAGTATAGTAGTATAGTAGTTCATTTAACGATAATTGATATGAAATGGACCAAGAGTTTAATCATTGTCACTGCATCATTACATGTTGGTCACCTAAAAGGATCATACAAGATTGAAATAAAATGAGAATAGACGAATAGATGCATTAGTCGATTAATTAGATTTGGAAGCAAGTACTTAAGCTCGAGAAATTAGAGACTTCTCGAAACCCCGAAATGATGCCCGCGACCTGATTCATTACCTAATCATATAAGATGCTCAGTCTTGATTCTTTTACATAAGTGTCTATCAACTGTCATTTCACAAAGCAATTAACCTTGACAGGAAAGTGCGATGATAAAGAAACGTGGGCATGTATGGAAATTGAGCAAATAGGTGGATGCAACCGAACAAACGAGAAGTGGGAGAAAGCAAAGCAAATTTGCGGGAAGTTGGTCGTTTAGCTCCGGACAGTCTATGCAACGTCTATGCAACGTCCATGCAACAACAAAAGAACCGTCTATGCAACGTCTATGCAACGTCCCTGCACAATGAACACTCTATGCACACTCCCTGCACGGTCAGTCTATGCAACGTCTATGCAACGTCTATGCAACGTCTATGCAACGTCCCTGCACAGTACCATATGAACACCGGCTACTAGCCGGCTAGTAGCCACTTTTGTAATAACAGCTCCTCAACTTCACATTACCAACCGGCTACTAACCGGCACTTGAAAAGTGGTCACTAGCCGGCTACTAACCGGCTACTAGCCGGCTAGTGACCACAAAGTGGCTACTAACCGGCTACTAAGCGGTCACTAGCCGGCTATTAGCCGAGCTCTAAAGCAGACCTACTAGTAGCCAGTTCCAAACCGGCTACTAGCCGGCACTTAGAAAGCGGTCACTAGCCGGCTACTAACCGGCTACTAACCGGCTAGTAACCACCAAGTGGCTACTAACCGGCTACTAACCGGTCACTAGCCGGCTCTTAAGCGGACCTACTAGCCGGCACTCGAAAAGCGGTCGCTAGCCGGCTACTAACCGGCTACTAACCGGCTAGTAACCACCAAGTGGCTACTAACCGGCTACTAACCGGTCACTAGCCGGCTATTAGCCGAGCTCTAAAGCAGACCTACTAGTAGCCGGTTCCAAACCGGCTACTAGCCGGCACTTAGAAAGCGGTCACTAGCCGGCTACTAACCGGCTACTAACCGGCTAGTAACCACCAAGTGGCTACTAACCGGCTACTAATAGGTCTGCTTTAGAGCCGGCTAGTGACCGGTTAGTAGCCGGTTAGTAGCCACTTGGTGGTTACTAGCCGGTTAGTAGCCGGTTAGTAGCCGGCTAGTGACCGCTTTTCAAGTGCCGGCTAGTAGCCGGTTTAGAACCGGCTACTAATAGGTCTGCTTTAGAGCTCGGCTAATAGCCGGCTAGTGACCGCTTAGTAGCCGGTTAGTAGCCACTTTGTGGTCACTAGCCGGCTAGTAGCCGGTTAGTAGCCGGCTAGTGACCACTTTTCAAGTGCCGGTTAGTAGCCGGTTGTTAATGTGAAGTTGAGGAGCTGTTATTACAAAAGTGGCTACTAGCCGGCTAGTAGCCGGCTAGTAGCCGGTGTTCATATGGTACTGTGCAGGGACGTTGCATAGACGTTGCATAGACGTTGCATAGACTGACCGTGCAGGGAGTGTGCATAGAGTGTTCATTGTGCAGGGACGTTGCATAGACGTTGCATAGACGGTTCTTTTGTTGTTGCACGGACGTTGCATAGACGTTGCATAGACTGTCCGGAGCTAAACGACCAACTTCCCCAATATTTGCAGTTCCGATGATGACAAGACTGGTAAGCTACATTGTGATACTATAGTGGTTTGGAAATCATTGTGCAACCAAATTATTGTGCAACCATTGCGGTCAGAGGTGTTGACTTTCATCCTTGTATAAATTCCGAAAATCTCTAATAGGCTGGATGCAGGCCAAAGCTGGAATGTCTGTGAATATTGAGCTAAAAGGAGCCAGAGTGTCCATTAGACTACCAAAGACAGAGGACAAAGCAATTCCCACTAACTTGAATTTTGGATTCATTGTCAAAGCGAGTTTACAAGCATATTCATTTGAGTGGAGTTTGACAAGGTATAAATATAATCAGTAGTAGTGTTAATTATGAAATCAAGGAATATATTTATATAAGAGGCCAATCATTTTGATTCAACATTGTATTAAATTAAATTTTGTATTGAACATTCGTTGCATGTTCAATAAAAAAAAGTTGTTATTCCTCGACGCAACCAGAAAGGCCGTGGGAGTAGTGCTAGAGATGAGATTAGAAAACTGTGATCGGGAGAACACTAATGTCGATATAACATGTATGGAGGTAACAACTCCCTGGACTGTAAACTTTCACGAGTAAGTATTTTAGTTGTCTACTAGAATGTACATTAATATACCACCAATACTATTAAATGTCAATATCACATTGTGCTCTCAGGGCTGCAAATATTGTAAACAATTTTAACATTTTCTGGGCAACTCTTACTTCAACCTTTTAAGTAGGATTCATGTCCCAAAATCGTAAGAAGCCCCAAAAAAAGTATAAATTATCCTAATTATCCTAATTGTTCCTATCTCAGCGAGAGTTTCTCTATGTTTTGTGGCGAGGAAGTGGTTTTACAAAAGATGAAATACCCTGAGAATTGTGAAGGCTGGGCAGATCTTATTAGACATAGTAAACAGATAGAATTCACAAACTTTTCAAACGGGCTACCATTTGAAGTTCGAAGTGAAGGTGATATTACAAGCAGTCCATAATCACTCGAATACTTTTAAGGTATCATATCTATAATAACATATGCCTTTGAAGGATTCAACACCGTAAATTATACAAGCTGTCATTGAATGCGTGTACAATATCTACATATAATAGAGTGCAATAGTTTGAGCTTAAATTGTAGATATAATAGTCAAAAGAACTAAAAACTAATAATCGAAAGAACTAAAAACACTTTGTAATCGTTAATATACTCTTTCAGAACTGTCGCCTCGCACAGTGAGAAACATTAAATACTTGGACGAGGACGAAAATGTGGTTTATCGATCAAAAATACATAGGACTGATTTGAAAGGTAATGAGACTTTAGTTTATGATTTCCAGAAAATGTCAACAATAAAATTCGTACATTCTAGGTGGACATAATAAATAATTCGATCCATTGTACTTTGATATGATAATTTACAGATTTATAAATAAATATTTATTAATCTTCTTAGTATCAGACGATGGAATAAAGTTGAGTTGTAATTTTTGGCACGCAACAAATGATTCTCTTCACCAAGAAACTAAGGAACTAAAGATCTTGTCAGACACAAGTAAGAATCCTGCCTCTGTCACCATTTGTACATTTATCAAAGTTCTTTGGGATTCATATTATTTGTTTCTGATCAAAGTAGTAAAACCGTTTAATCTTTATAACAGTGCATTTTTAAAACGTGCATTCAAATGTTATTTCTAAAATTAGACCTAAAATAGAACATTGCAGATTGGCAGTTACAGGATGTTAAATGTGAGGATCTGTACAGCATGAAATTGGGTCATGACGAGATCTTCAAATGTCCTCAAAGAACCACCGGAGTTTTCACCCGACGTTTTGATGAAAATAAGTGTGTTTTCAGTGCCAGGTGTGCCGGTAAGTGTTATAATTATAGTGAAAGAATATTTTTCCGACCACAATGATATAACATTTGTCAACAAATTCCTTTCTATTCGATATTTAGCTCATTGTAAATGTTTTATCATAAACTTTGTATTTACAAACTCCTTCCTAGTTCCTAATCGTATTTAGGAGCTTCTGAGGAGGATATAGCTATGCAGGCTTGTGGGTGCAGACTTGTTCAGTCAACAGAGAACAACAACATGAACACAACCATTTGTCTGAACAAAAAAGGTGAGTATGAAGCAGTACCAACAGACACAGTCTGTTCAAACAGCAATGGAATATGCCTTGCTAAACATAGTGATATACTCGCATCAACCACGGTGTGTGAAGATCAAACTAAAGGTTTCTTTTCGTGCAGCAATGGCAGACGTGTTCGATCTATCTACAAATGTGATAACAACGACGATTGTAACACGTTTAGTGATAGTTTACCTGGAAATTACTTTGCAAAACGACCTTTGTTTGAGGATGAAGCGAACTGTAATCATACACACGGAGTTGAATGCCAGTACAAAAATGTTAGAATATGGGTACCCCCTTATCTACAGAAATGTGATGGACATGGAATTTGCAGCAATAATTTAGACGGGATTGAAAGTGAGGATTTCAACTGTACAGTCCGGGTAAACTGCACTCTGAATAACATGAATAATAGAGTTTATGAGGGACAAATGTGCGACCCAACTTTACCGAAAGGTATCACACGTCATTGTGATGACGGGGCTCTTACTTACATGAACTGCAGTTCTAAAGACACTGAGCCGAATACCAGCCATCTTGTTTGTAAATATAACGGCTTCAATTCGACTTTGGACAAATCTTTAGAATGTGATGGTAAAAAAACTTGTGATAATGAAGAAGATGAGATTTGCTTCTATTCATTAAACAAAAGAGAACCCTGCACATTGAATGAATTCAGAATTGACAGTCAGAAAACAGAAGATACTTGTGTCTCTAAAGATGACGAGTTTATTACTTGTCCTAGCTCGACGTACTACGTCAATAAACGTTTGATCTGCAATGGTTATAAAGATTGTAGTGATGGACCTAGCGAGGAAGCTATGTGCCCAGCAGGAAATGCAGTCCAGAGTTTATTTGAGACAAGTGATACAAGTGGTATTCGTGACCGCAAGGACTACCGGGTATTCTTTGAATCAAACTGCTTACCAGGTATATCGAGGGATTCATACGGTTGTCAAAAGAAGCTGTTCTACGATCAGAGAATCAGAAATAGTGATAAATATCGAGATTGCCATTATCTTTCAGACACAACTAATCCAACTACTTTGAACTGCAGTGGAACAACTATTCCCCTTTATCAGTTTTCACCTGGAAACACAATCACAATTCACCTAAAGAATGTCAGTCAACTCCAAGGTTACAAAAACTGTACGGATACTAGCCTTCCTATCGAAATCACTGAGTGGTGTGACACCGAGTGTGACTGTAAGGATTGTTCCGATGAGGCAGATTGCAGTGACACCAACCCAAGAACTTTTCAGTGTGGAGATGGCAACTATATTCCTTATACACAGTTTTGTGACGGACAAACCAACTGTAAAAACAGTACAGACGAATGTCATGAAGATTGTACGGATGACAGTTACCGTAACATCCTTACTTCCAAATACAGACCGGTTGCTGGCTTCATTGGAATAACAGCTTTCCTCGTAAATGGTGGCTCGTTACTGGTACATTCGAAGAAACTCCCTGACATCACTGCAGTTAGCAGTTTTATCAACCAGATGTTTATAATATTAATTGCATTGGGAGACTTTTTGGTGGGTCTTTACATGCTCCTTGTTTTAGCGGCAACCATTCATTATGGTGAAAGCTACTGCCCACAGCGTAACACATGGTTATCTAGCAAACATTGCTCAGGCCTGGGAGTATTAAGCACTACAGGAACTATGATATCCATGCTGTCCATGACTGTTCTCAGTGCTTTCAGAATGTACTCACTTAAGATGATGGTTAGTCTAGGAGAAACAAATCTGAGGGCAAAACTAAAAGCTCTTGTAATATCTCTCAGCATAGTCCTTGTTTCATTCTTGATTGCGGTTCTTCCAGTTTTGAATGTGTTGTCATCGTACTTTGTAAATGGTCTCATCCTGGAAGGAAATCCCTTCTTCACAGGTGTAACTGACAGAACTCAAATTGAAGCCGTTGTCAAACACTTTAATCCCTCCGAATCTATCAAATCCCAGTCTTGGAATGATTATGAGGAGGCTCTTCAAAATGTGTACTATTTAAAAAAGAACTTCACAGGTCTAGCAAGTTCTCGCCCTAGAATAGGATTTTATGGAAATCAAGGTGTCTGTTTGTTCAAATATTTTGTTAAACCAGATGATCCACAAGTAGCCTTTTCTATGTTGATAATAGGCCTCTGTTCCATCTGTTTCAGTATTATCTCGATATGCTACCTCTTCATTTTCTCTTATGCAGCATCTAGTTCAGTGGAGTCGGGGTCAAGCGAGACACAAAAGCAGTCAATGAAAAGGCTCCAACATTAACCTCCAAAAGTAACCTTGATCATAACAACTGACTTTCTTACATGGATCCCATTCATAATAATCGCTCTGCTACATTTGAGTAACCAGATTGATGCAACTCCATACTACGAGTTCTGTTCCATCCTTCTTATCCCGATAAACAGTGTTATAAATCCTATAATCTACAATGGAGACAAAATGGTTATACTGTTAAAGAACTATTGTATGAAACGGCAGAGAAAAATTGTTATAACTCCTATTAGTGGACAAAACACAACATCTCTTGTTGTTACTGATCATATAGAACTGTCCAGTATTAGGCAAGGATAAGATCACGAATACAACTTAAAATAGCGAATGAAAGTTAAGTAATTATTACATCATTTTTGAAATAAAAGTGGGATCGGAACACTATGAAATCAGGCTCTAGTTGCGATATATTTATAAGAACCTAAGTTTTCTTTCTTTTTCCTATATATTTCTGCTTCAAGAAATAAATTGATAAAGTTCCAATATAATAACGTTGCTAATATTGAGGAAAGAGAAAATGTTTGGTTGCACTGTCAATGCAACTTTTAGAGAAAGCTGTATCGAATAATTTATATTTTAAATAAGGCCTACTATTGTTCGTGAAAATCACATTGTTTTAATTTAAAAGATATGACTCAAAGTTTCAGAATGGTTTGGTAATACTCACACTAAAAAAGCCATCTTTCCTAGCTTCAATGAGTTCGTCTAGTCCCTCACTTCCACTTTCTTCCATTCCCTCAAAGCACATCTGTGGTAGTTTAATAGGATAATTATTTTCAAAACCAGGTCCATAAAATAAAAACATTACAACTAAGAATAAATAAAAGGTAAGAGTTGTAAAATTAATAGTGAAATAAACCCATAGGTTCACAGGAAGTTCTAGTCCAAGACTCTTGTACGCTTGAGCCACATGTAGCCATCCCATAGCAGGTCCTTTATCATCAGAGGAACCTCTACCATAGAGTTTATTGTCTCTCTCGGTCAAAACAAATGGCTCAGAGTCCCATCCATCCTCAATTGCTGCTGGCTGAACATCTAAATGACCATAAACACAGACTGTCTTTTTGTTTGGGTCAGAGCTAAGTTTTCCTGTGGTTTAAAAATGTCACTACAATTATAACGTTAAGACATAGCTCTGTAAAGCACTTCTTAGTCTTGTCATGCCCTGATCTTTTTGAAAATTAGACATTAAAATAGGATTTTAAAAGTCAAGACGAATTTTAGAGTAACAGTTACATACCTAATAAGACATTTGGGAGAGGAATTTCAGTGCCATCAACCAACTTCTGCATTCCAACGTCACATTTTTCAACAGACCCACCAAGTTCTTCAATCATCTTAGCTGCAAGATCCATCATTTCTTGGCACTGGGGCCTGTTCTCAGGCCAAGCTGAAACACTCTTAACACTGACATATTCAGCCAACTTATCTATTAGGCTTTTCTTGTTTTCATCAATGTAATTGAAAACTTTCTGCAGTGATGCTGAAGCCATGCTGAACATTTTGTTTATCAGAAAATCATTGTTTTAATATGTGAAACAAATTTTAGTGAAACAAATTTAAAATTTTATCCTTTATTTTACAATCATAATATAATAATATTTATAAGCCTCCGTTTTGAAAGTTTTAAATTTCAATATATCCGAATTTCTATTTAAAGTTCAATTCTATGTATAAGTCAATAACTGGCCGTCAAAGCCACGCATTCATGAAAACAGGATTAACTTGTTTATAGTTATACGACAAAGTAAATTTAAAACTATCCGTGGTTTTTAAATAAATTATAATCTTACCTAAATCCAAAGCCTGCTTTATAAAATTTACTTTAAGATCATAATATATCGTCAATTCTAAATATTTACAATGCAACATTTCATTAATCTATAAATAATAAACAAGCGTACTCCAGCCCCTACACGGTACACGCGCGCATCCATCCATTTGACTCTGAACTGTTCGATATCAAAAAATGGAAGCAGTTGGTCGGTAAGCTAATGGTTATAGTTTCTGATTGAACTTATTCCAAACAGTTTAAACTGTCAGAATTGGATGATTTATTTTATATTTATATGTTTCCAATTCTGAAATTACCAGTACTATGTCATAAATTGCAATATAATTAAGGAGAATAAACTCTAGCTATAGGTTATTTGCAAACTTGCTGTTAAAATCTTAGGGGGGCTGGTGGGAGGCGTTGAGGGTGGCGGGATCTTCATGAAAGTTGGGAAAGAACAAGAAGTTCGCCGCAGTTAAACCACGCACGATCAATTTTCCCTACGATGTACTAGTATCATTAATTCTTTCGAGTGAAAAGTGTGACTGGAAAAAAATGCAACATATTTACATACTATTTTTTTAGTAAATGAGTAAGATTTGTGCATGGTAAAAATTGACGATTTATTTGACCAATGTAGCGCCGCGCATCAACAATAAATTAATCCAGAAAATTGCGGAAAATAACTTTGCGAAGGAGGAACTTCACTGTAATTAACTAACACAGGCCGAGCGTCGCGCGCAGCATAACAGACGCTTCCTATACACATAATTATAGGGGAGTGGTCTATATTGCGAAGGAGCAGACTTTTGTCATCAACGTAGGACCGTCGGGCCACCTCACATATCCAAACCCGATTACTTATTCCCTACGATCTTTTTGCCTTCGGCAAGAGTAGGGAAACAAAGTTTTTTTTCAAGAAAACAACAATTCAAGAAAACAACAATTTTCTTTAACTGACTTTATAGTTGAACTTTCTGAGAGGAGAATGATCTATCAGCTGCTTTTGGTCCCATGGAAAAGTATTGATCCTTAGGATCAGTTAGAAGAGTCAGAATTTTAACTTAGGCCTTTAAAGATTTTAATTCGATTTTGAAAACTTTGGACCACTAAAGATATCGATGAAAAATGAGGTTCAAGCTAATGGATACTGGTATAGGGATTGAAGAACTGAGAACCTATCTGTACAGGTATTTTCTATACCGTGCAATTTTCGTTTCCCAGAGAGGCCTGGTATGTAAAGGTTTCATAGTTGATAGTAATATGTTTACAGTACACTGCAATGTAGATATATACTGAATGGGTATCCTAAAAAAAGATATTTGATATTTTGACAGGGCTTCTCTATATTAATTAACCCTCTACACTCGGTCACAGTTTTCTGGTCATTAGACTGAGTCAACCGTTTGTGAAGATTGCATACAATCCCTTAGTTCATACTCTGGGATTGAAAGCACAAGCAAATCTCGAACAGATGCAAGATGTGTAATTTTAAATGGATCTAAAGTTGTTTCGACGAGTTGCTTCGCGTCAATTTTAGTTGTCAATATTCCAAACAAATAATGTAATAGTATCAAGTTTTAGTGTAAAGGCTACAGTGGTTTATAATCTACCAAAATGCGTGCATGGTTAAACTCGTCGACTAGCCCAGTGGCAAATAGTCAGGCGTCCAGGAATTTAACACCTAGTCAAAATTTGTTGATAACCGGTAAAAAAAGATTCTTGTGGAAAAAATATTCACATTAATTTAAAATTAAATCAAAATTGGTCGCTCTCAGGGCTAACGCGATGTTACATCATTTTATCGACTCGAAGTTCGAATCGAGCGCATTCCTAGATTCCATGACTATTTCTTACCTATAAGATTACTTGACTATTTTTTGCGCATTCAGACACCAAAAAACGCGCAGAAAACGCGTGCTATCCATTCCTGCTTCCTCAACATCCCGGAATATGAAAAAATAGTCATGTAAAATAGTCATTTGAAATAGTCATGCAAAATTTCAGCTCTGATACGCTAAAATATCAAGTTAATCTTAAACAATCGACAATCTAATATGAATCCTCCCAATCCTCCCAATCCTCCCAGCCATATTAACTGGTGAACGGTGTAAATATAGAGCGGTATTTTAAAATGTAGCATTCAAAATTTTATGGATTCAAGTTGGCTCCTTTAGTCTAGATTCATTTAGAAAATTCTCGAAGTTCGAGTAATACAGTATTCTCAGGGTTTGGCGCTTAAGGAAGCTTCACATCCGAGACCGATTTCCACGAATCAATTTAATATTGTAGCTACAAGTCAACAACAGTGCAAGTGGGAAGGAAGTAAATCTAGCCATTGCTACTATATCAGGGGAACTCGTGTGTTCTAGGCTTAAGCAAGCTTCACATCCTAGATCATCTAGAGTACAGTGCAGACAACCCCCTCCATTATACATCCCTATCCCGCTTTAAGTCCGAAGTTTATCATTGTTTATTGTCTAATATTGTATCGAACCTGGCAGAAGCAAGCTTCAGATCCAAAGTCAGGCCAAAAATATCGACACAAGGTCGAAGCCATTTTCAGAGTAGCGAATCGTTCATCATGCTGATGAGAATTAAATCTTAGAACTCAATCTACCGGGCTAGGGCGGGCTACTATGAAGCATAGTGTGGAGATGTCTGTGGGCTAGTCTATATACTTCTTTTAAAAAATATTTCCTTGCGTTTCAATTAAATTAAAGAATTCTCAGAAATTTTTTATTTAATTTCAAAATTTGCAATTGCATATTCATCCGGTAATTATTCTAATGGATACGCTAAGCATTTCAAACTAATCTTGACCTGGGAGAAGAGCTGACCAGTGACAAGTCGGCCGCAAAGCGGCCGAAAAATATATAGCCTTTTTTCTTCCCAAACTGGATTCCTAGTCATATTTAAAATTTATTCCACTGGGTCGACTAGACGCTCTCAAAACAAATATTTCACGAGTACAGAGTATCAACGGTTAACAAATTTGGATTTGAAGTTGATTTCATGGTTGCTTGTTAGTAAATATTCAAAAAGTCAATTAATCGAAGGCGCAGTTTATATCTCCGCCAAAAGCACACTCACCAAATTGCACGCATTGCTTTAACTTCTTTCAAACTTCATGAATCGAGGTATTCAGAGTCAATATATGATATATACAGTTTTACGAATCACTTGGAATACTTTTGAAAAACAAAAACTTGGAAGAATCCGCCGCTTCGACACGCCGCGCAAACAAAAATTCTTGCTTCGCATCGTCGATCGTTACCTGTTTGTTTGGGCCCGGACGGTGCCGGTGGTTCTAATGACCATTTACTAAAATACATAGATACAAAATACAATATAGTATAAATATTATAATCAGAAGTTTTATAAATCCTATCCGTCCAAGTTAAACTTGAAGGGCGCTACACGCACGACGAAAACTCCCTTTAATGTGAGCTGAAGTAGACTACTAGTAGTAGAGCTAGTAGCGCTTGAAATTGACAGAACTGAAAACGAAATCTGACAATTGTCGCGAAAACTGACAGTTTTGTGTGCTCAAAGTGTCGAGAAATACTGACAGTGCAAGACTGGGCACACAAGAGTGAGTTAAAACATCCTCCACACAACAAAAACTTGAATACACTAATAATAATCAATTATTAAAAACACACAAGCTCATTCTGCAGTCTTATTAGTCTTATCAGTACTCTTTATAGCACCGTTTCTGATAAAGTGTAGCTTATCAGGCTGCTCAGTTACCAGTTTTTTCATGTCCCTGACGAGTTCTCTTTGCTTGGCTCTCTGTTCTGGAGATCGATCTGGGCTGATAAAAACAGTTTTAAACTTTTCTGTTGCTCGCAGGTTTCTCGATTTAGCGAGAATCTGATTAACAATTGTTGCACTTGCCGCTGTCACTTTAACTGGTCTCACAGCCTTGCCAGGCTTGAGCTTTCCGACTCTACTAGCTTCGATTCTGGGTTTCTCTCCGATTGCTGAGAACACTTCACTGACCACAGTGCTGAGCTCCTCATTGTCCTGCTCCGATAAACCAAAAATCATCAGATTTTTGTTTCGGTCTTCCTCCTGTACCACAGTTTTCACAGCTTTCTTGATCATTTCAGAACTGACAGGCTTCTGAGATTCTGGACAATTCGCCTGTAATACCGAGCTGAAGGATTGGAATTCAGCCTTGACAGACTCTCCGACTGACGATTTAACTGACGTCTGCAACGATTCCAACTGTTCATTTTTGCAGGCTAGTAGTTCTGACTGCAGCTTAATGATAGTCTCCTGTGTCTCGAACGTAAGATGTTTAACTGAGTTTGAGGCCATCTTGTAGTCCGTGGATACGACACCAGTGAACTCCTCCAAATATCTTAATGCATCGTGCAACAAGTCACACGCAGTGTTCTTGTTCATCTTCTTCACGCACGAAGGGGATAGTTGCTTCATTGCTGTGATCTCCATCTCGTACATAGCCTTGCTGAGAAGTTCAACTGAGTCACCCCTTAACATGTTGATCTCCTTTTCACCATACTCGCTGGGCGGGATGGTCATGGTCGTGTAACACGGTGATACACGAACCACTGTAGCTGCAAGTTACAATCAACAGGGATAATCACTAAGATAAGAGAGTAAGAAAAGAGCAACGTATGCAATTAGTGTAATACTGAACTCTGGGGACCTCAGACTATTATGTTCATAAACATAGAATAGAGAGAATAGAGAATAGAGATTCGGCGGAATGCCACGCTGAGCGCGGCCTAGTAAATGGTAAATGTCGATCGTTGCTCTGCTTCGCAAAGCAATAATTTCGATGGGTTGACATCATCAATTTAGAAAATAACATGACAACAGACAAGCTCAAGCTTAAAAACGGTACTGACGTATATCTCCATAAAGAGCACAATAGTGTGAGAAGCTTTTGCCGAGGTGCCTCGGAAGTGATTTTAAACGATTCCCCGTTCAATTTTGGTTTGCTCTAACCAGAGCCCTCTCGCTTGCAGTAGCGCGCAACCGCCGAAGGTCTACTTGTGAAACAAGCGCGTCACGCAGTACGCGTAGACACATGGCTATGTGAAAATTTTGGTTAAGGAATGCCAACTTAATACACAACCAAAAAAGTTATATGCATATTTCATACCTATCAAATTTGGAGGACTTCGACGCGCCGCGAAAACTAGCATTCTTGCTTTGCAAAGCAATGCAATGATATCGACGGGTTGACATCGTCAATATTCAAGTATCAAATTTGATGTGCTTTTGGCGGAGATATTGGATATAACATGCGCTTTAATTGAAACCCAATATCTAACCTGTAACAGAATACAGTAATTATAGTTATATTATTATTACTACATACTAACATTTATATAAATTCGTCTCACATCGTGATCCTCATTTCATGCATGACAACAATTTATGATCTAGTGGCATTTGCCGCGAAATGGCCGCGTACTTATGTCATGTTGTCAGTTGCATTGTGCACAGCAGGCACCACATTCACCTAACCATGTGCTTTCGCGCCACTTCAGGCGCGCTTGTTTCGCCGTGATGCGGGCGCGCGCTACTGCAAGTGCAAGGGCTCTGGATAGAGCAAGGCACCACACTACAGCGTACGGCATACCGAACATTACCTGGGGACCTAAGGCTATCATGTTCATAAACATAGAGATTAGGCGGAATGACAGGCTGAGCGCGGCCTTGTAGCGCGATGCACTACTGGGTCGCGCCGCGCATCAAATAATTCTTCTCGCAACCATTTTCGGTAGATCGGCGAGATGCACCACTGTGCCTCACCGAGCTGCGAAGGATTGACATCGTGAATCAAAGCGCGGCCCAGTAAACCGAACAAGCTTAAACATAATTGACTTGTTTGTTGTTGTATTTTCTGCACTACATGACCACACTGCGTGTAAATAAAAATTTTTAAAGGTTTTTGCTGCTATGACTACAAAATCCTAAAAAATGTTATTCCTGTGTCCTGGCATATATATTCCTTTTAAAAAAAATTGAATTTTTTTCGTTACAATTGGTGGTTATTTGTTATTAGTTGTATCACATCGTGACCACCATCGTCGTTTTACTATAGTAGCCAGTTTCCACGATACAGGGGAGCCGCGCGCTCGTGCGCGGCGGGTCATACAACCTATGACACGTTATTAGGGTCACGTGATATTTTTCAATGCCGGAATTGATTATAAATGATCACGTAAATGCTGGTCAAGCGCACTTAATTACAATGAGCATCCGCTCTGCACTTTTTTCCAGTGCAATGGAAATCGTAATTCACTCAGCTCGAATAGAGCTAGATTCATATTCTGCGGAATGACAGGGTGAGCGCCGCCCAGTAACGTAGCACCACATTAATTAGGTCGCTTTGAGCCGGGAAGAATTTATATAATCCACTAAGAATTAACAGTATTAAATTAATACTTGGGAACTGTGGAAGATTTGTAAGTTTATTACCTATCAAAACGCGCGCTGAGTTGGATACTCGTTTAAACAAATATTTAAAGGATATTGCCCGTTAATGAAATGTGAATAGAAGGATGAACATCGTCAATTAAGGGTACACATTTTTAATTTATATAGGTTTTAGTTGTTAGTATTATTTACAAATAAATGCCATAGCTTATAATTTATTTGTGTATTTTGTTTAAATGTGTTTTTGCTTTTTATAATTATCATTACGAATAAATTTGAAAAACAATTACTGGAACGTGAATGGGCGCCACTGTAGCGAGCCCACGTTTATCTTGGGATGGGCATTTTCAGTGTTTTCCAGCGTGAATGTTGATTTAAAATTGGAAATTAAGCTTCACTGACTAACTCAAGCAAAAATAAGATTATGTATTAAATTATATGTGATGCATTCAATCAATTCGTGTAATGCAATTGGCAAAGCACAGTACGCTGGTTATTCGAATTAAATGGCACAATGCTACCAAAATTATGAAGTGGTACCCTAAGAAGATTTTTGATCTTTAACCCTCAACCACGTTTATGGTTTAGTCTATCGAGGAGAAAATATTAAGCAACCCTCGTAACGGCCTTCCGATGGGTTGCTCGGGATCCGCCAAATTACTGTGGAATTTAAACGTAATATTGTTAGAATGTTTTTAAATCCATTCAAGCGAACACCTGTAATGCTCAATTTATTATATTATTGTTGGTTACTTTCCGGCACATACATTTACACACAATTTATTGTTACGGATGATCAGTTGTTGACTACATGACGTAGTAAATTCTTTTGTGGTCCAGTGGTCATTTGAAGGAAATCGTAATCGAAAGTTCAGAGTCTAATTGTTTGGGCCGTCAATCCCAGAGGATGCAGTATTCACTATACGAAGGATTTATGTACAATCTCCTCTGGTAGACCCAGCGGAAATATCCAGAAAACCGTGATTGAGAGTTAAACGTAGAGAATCCCTTTCAAAAATCCTAAATATTTTGAGGGTATACTAGAAACACAGCAATTTAATAAATTCAGTCGGAATCCAGTTAATCGTAGATTGATGATGTACCTGACAAAGTTTATGGTCCTTTGCAGGGACAAAGAAAACAACAAATTCAAGAAAACAACAAATTTTTATTTAAATCAATTATAGCAACAATTTGAAAAACTTAAAAGTTCTTCTATTACCATGGAATATACTACGGGTATGGTGACTTGGGCTATTGAGTTGTTAAGTAGATTAAGATTAGTAAACCTGCACTTGCATTGTATTTATGAAAACTTATTTATTTATTTTATTTATTTATTTATTTATGAAAACTAGAAATTAGGCTTCACGGTAAAATGGAGAAGCAGGCTGATCTTGGAGAGAGCAGACCGTAAAGTTTACGCACCCACCAGAGCTACCTACCTACCCCAGTTGTTCTTTTTGGTTTATCAGCTTGTATTGTTATATTTATGGACCCCAAGTCACCACACTAAGAAGGAGTATGTGAAAAAATTAAAATAATAACTAATAAGTTAAGGTAATATCATCATATCAGTTTAAAACAGTAAAAGTTAAGTTGAGGATTGAATTTCCTAGTTAATTTAATGGTTCATCATAATGGGACTATTCCTTGTCGAGTCCATAATAGCTTGGCTACTACTGGGAACAGTCACATGACATATTTGATAGGATAGATGAGTCTGTGCTGTGTCTAATAGGAATAGTTATATAAGTTATATGAAAGAGAATCCAATGATAAGAGGAAGAAGGTTAATATCAAAGATATTTAGTTGAGTTTTTTAGTTTGTAATTACATGGTTTTAAACGTAAATTGTTCATTTTCTGTGAATTTCTTGTTGAGATGCCCAGAGAGGAATTATTTATAATGTTATGTCATGTTATGTTATTAACGGTACCCAATCATTCGCCTAAGTTAACAGTGGAGCTGCATAGACCCACTGAAGTCTAGCTTAACATACGGATTGCCAGGCAGCGACCACTATGTAGCACTTTCTAGTTGTGTGAGCTGTGAATGACAATTCAGTTTTAGTGACATTTTGACGGCCATCTTTGCTATGATCCCACTGTTTACAGTTGACTAATAATAAATACACAATTAACAAAGCAGTAAGCTAATATCGCAACCTAGTACCGATGAAACTTTGAAGTGAAACAACTTTGGAGGGTCTCCTTTATTGGATTAAAATTAACTTCCTTGATAACAATCATGAATCATGATTCAGTTAATGCACTCATTGCTATGATGATGGTGAAAGGTTCATGGTTTTGAAATCTTACTTGTTAGTCAAATGGTTTTATAATGGGATATTAATTAACGAACGCTTAAATATGGGCTGTACTCTGTGCTTGTAGACATGGTGATTGGTGCTGTTGCCTTTCAAATTTGACTATTGCTGTTTTTATTTTAAAGAATTATGTTTTGCCTTTTCATTGTTTTAAATGATGAAAACTTTACGTTTGCCACCTTTTAAACTAACCGCCCATATCTACTAGGAATGCATTGAACGGGCTGTTAACATCAGAAGAATGCAGATGAACCACATGTATGAGCTGCAGAAGCAGATGAATGCCACTCCAGTGGCAAATAATCAATTTGCAATGCATGCTCAACTGTTGGGAGCTAACCCTCAGCACCAAGCGATCCTTAACCAACAACACCTCCTCTCACAGCAGCTCAGCCAGCAACAGGCCCCTCTCTCGCCCATCCTTGCACCTTTAAAGAGGGGGAGAAAAGCTAATGAAGATGGTGACTCACGAAAACGGAGGAGAAAGGATCCTAACCGTCCTAAGCGTGCCATTACTTCTTATTTTTTCTTCACTGCTGAATACAGGAACAGTCTGAGAAGGGAGGGAAAGGCTGTGCCTGGTGTCAAAGAGGTACTGTTTAATTTCTAACTGTCCAAAGGACTGTTTGCATATTTATTTTACTTTTTGGCCACTCCCCCAATCCCTCTTTTACCAAACACTTACACACACATCTCTATTGTGTTGGCATTCAGAACCCCCTTGGCGTCCATGCTTGTGCTGTTTAATATGATATGTGAACGCGTCTAACTATTCGGTAAATTATGGTGAAATGTTTGCCACAATGGTAAAACCAATTTCGTACCATATCTTTTTCCAAATGGCAAAAATAGTGGAAACATTCATTCGCCATTCATTGCAGAAATTCTTGATTTTGTCACAGCAAAATTGGGGTACCATTACGTGAGAGTTGTCGGCTTAATTGGCGTTGACACCACTACCATCTCACTGGTTTAGGCAAGGCAAATAAAATCGATTGTAATAACATTAACATTGTCACCACTTCTCTAAAATGATCCCAATTTCTATACTAATTGTTGCTGTGAAGGTACCTCAGACCAACATTAGAAGGATGTCTCACTACGCAAGTCTTCTCAACAACAAGAAATAGGAATTAGCACTCAAAAGGATCTTAAAAACGGTTGCAGAAGACAACTTTCGCCCAATGATGTGCTGATGAAAGATCTTATGAGTTTCATCAGGAAGAGGCTTAAATTCGAATTACAGAAAACTACAGATTCCTCTCTAAGTTTGATAGCAGAGCAAAACAAATTTATCTGGTAGCAGTTATGTGGTGTATTTATGGTGAGTCGAGTGACATGACCATGGTTTTGATGGGAAAGATTTTCTGCATTAAAAAAGAGCCATATGTATACATGAGGACATCTAAAAAATATATCTTTTTAAGAATCCCAATTACTCAACACTATTTTCGAAAAGGTTTGAAATAGGGTTCAAATAGATTTTCATAGCATATTCTGAAGTTTTTATTGTTCGTTTTAGCAGTGACCCTTAAAGTCATTGAGAAACGGCCATTGCTAAAATTATATTTCTAAATTATATTTTCTTGTTCGTTTTCATTTAAGATAAATCAGAGAGCCAAACAGTTTGACCAAATTTTTAATCAAACGATTTAAATCGTATGATTTACAGTTTTTGTCTATCTAAACGTCTATCTTTTATATATTTTTAGCCTTCATTTCTCGATTTTCAATTTTATTTATACTTTTCTTCTTATGCCGACTTGACTGTCATTTATTTTGTTCACAAGTGTGTAAGCTTGTTCTCTTTAATTCGTCAAGTTTACAATTTTTTCTTCACATATTCTTACCCCTTTTCAAAAATCAATGTTCATAGATTCTAGAAATGCCATCACAGTCAAACTCGACCAGGGCCAGGGTTCAGTTCTTATAATGCATGGTACTGATTTCCAAAAGAAGTATACCCACCAAATACCCAAAGATAATGTGATCACTAATTCATGTACCTCTGTGACCTACAGGACCTGCAGCTCCACTTTCCTAAGAAACCGAAGTGCCCTATCTACACCCCTGAAAGAGATATCTAATTATAATTCTTATAATTCTTATAATTCTTATAAACCTTCTGGGAAGGTTTCCTATGTAATACTTTTTAAGGGGGCAGTGGGTGGGGGGGGGGGGGGGGGGGGTCACCTTCAGTGCACATAACATAAGTCCAAGATACTGACAGTTCTGTTAGATTCATGATACTGTATATCATCTCTGTTGCCTGTTGGTAGATTAACAGTACGCTACTGGCATAATGGCCGTCGAAATGCAGCCGAAACTTAATTTTATGGTTAATATTTGAGTTGAAAAATATCTCCAGGGCATGAAACCAGGTTACAAGTTAGCTGGGGATTGTTTGCACATCTCATATATTTGTTCTTAGTGGGAATGTTTCTTAGCTGGTTCACAGATGCAATGGCAGATACACTACCAATCACCATTGATGAATGGGAACCCTGGCCCCTTGAGTGCATGCCTTACAAATAGTTTTCATTGATTATTATTATTGTCTGCAGACGTAGGGACGGCTTCTTTGTTGCAGCGTACTAGTGTTTGACTCTCCGCCTCGCGCCGTTGAGGGTACTGTGCTGTAGCTGTCAAATTTTGCTGTTTTGTGGTTTTCATCGTTAAGAATGTGTTGATCATCTGGTGCTTTTATATGTACATAGATTTTTATTTCACAGTAACTTCAGATTGCCACCGTTCAAACTAATTGACCACATCTAATAGGAATGCATTGATCGGGTTGTTAACATCAGAAGAATGCAGATGAACCACATGTATGAGCTGCAGAAGCAGATGAATGCCGCTCCAGTGGCAAACAATCAATTTGCAATGCATGCTCAACTGTTGGGAGCTAACCCTCAGCACCAAGCGATCCTTAACCAACAACACCTCCTCTCACAGCAGCTCAGCCAGCAACAGGCCCCTCTCTCGCCCATCCTTGCACCTTTAAAGAGGGGGAGAAAAGCTAATGAAGATGGCGACTCTCGAAAACGGAGGAAAAAAGATCCTAACCGTCCTAAGCGTGCCATGACTCCTTATTTTTTCTTCACTGCTGAATACAGGAATAGTCTGAGAAGGGAGGGAAAAGCTGTGCCTGGTGTCAAAGAGGTACAGTTTTATTTCTCTCTAAGGGACCGTTCACATATTCGTATTGTTGAAGCATTTTTTGGCCACATTTGGACTCACCTGGCCCCTCCCTTCGGTAAGCACTGAAACACATAGATATTGTGTTGGCATTCACAACCCCTCTCCCTTTTGAGCTTGCGTAATATTTGAACGCTCCCTAAATCGTCTGTTGTTCGTAAAAAGAAGTGTAAAACACGAAAAACTCAACCAAATTTTGGCCTAAAAAAAAATTAATTAAAACTAAATTTTAAACAGTATAATCAGGAAATAACGGTTGAATTATTTGCTGTCAAATCATATTTAGAATGATTGGTGCGGTGTCATCGCCATTCGTCGTCTACTTGAACAATTTACCAGTTTTCACATTGGTAAAATGATGGAAATGGAGAATTTTCATTTCACCTTTAAAAACCACAATCGGGAACAAATGTTTTCGTTATTTTAGCCATTCATCCAAGAAGTCCTCCTTTTTAGTCATTTACTAGAGAAATCTCAAAGTCGACTGCACTGTGGAAATGGCGATGACATCACCACACTTCGATTCCTCCCCCAAAAATAAGGCAACAAAGCAATAGCTAACGTATAAATGTGCTCATATTTCATGACAATTAATTCACTAAAATATTTCTTGTTTTCAGGTCGCACAGTACTGTGGTCCCAAATGGAATGGAATGAATGAAGATGAAAAGCGACCTTTTGTGGAATCAGCAGAGAAGGATAGAAAGCGGTATCTTGGTGAAATGAACATCTATAAAAAGCCACGTGATGAAGACAAGCCAAAGAGACCAGCAAGCGCGTATTTTCATTTTCTTGTTGAATTTCGAAAGAAAATGGCAGGAAAGCCGCTTCCGGAGCATACTACAATTCCCAAGTTGTCTGGAGCGTTGTGGCAGAAAATGACCGAGGAAGAGAGAAGACCATACAACACTAAAATGGAAGAAGAAAAGAAAGTATATGAGAAGAGATTAGCTGAGTACAGAAAGGTTCGTTAGCCGAAGATATGGGTAGATATTAGATAAGGTGTTACAAATTTGCATTGCTACTCTATAACAAAATTGGGAAACATCGTAGTTTAATGCACTAATACATACCCTTTTTTCAGAAAAAAGCGGAGGAAGCCATAAAAACTGCACAAAACAAACCGGAACCTGAAAAAAAAGAAGAAGCCCCCTACACTGATTACAGGGGATCGTTCGATGGCTCCACGCAAAACTCTGGGATCAATATGCTCTCCCAGTATTCCGACTTGAATCGTCACATACAAATGGTATGCTGTACTTTTGATTGTTTTGAAACGTGATTTCTCATTCACCATAATATAGTTCAAAATATTTTACTTGAAGTATTACTTCTGTACATTATTTACCTTACAAAATAAAGAAATTTCAGTAATAATAGAAATCAGAATACGGATAGTACGACTTTTTAGATCAGTCCTGATAGTATATTATGCAAATGTGCTCATTTATTAAGACTTTAAAGAGTCGAATATAACATGTAAATTGTAAATGGTGTGGTGCGCACAACACCATTTACAATTTACACATGTATGTTACATTCATCTCTTTAACGTCTTAATAATGGGATGCTAATTGTCAAACATTTGGGGAATAACACATCATAGTATTCTCGAAGAACTTGCCACGGTTCAAGCATCATATATTAAAAGAAACTAGTCTTAAAAACAAGTCTAAAGTTGTTGATTTGTATCATTTTGTGCTTCACAGTTTTTCTTGGATTGACGTAAGTTTATCCTCCAGATGACGAGTCAAGATAATAAGACCTGGCAGGCGCAGCTACAAAACATGCAGGCTGCTCAAGCTGCTCACCATTACAATAGTTATCATTACTCTGATATGTATAACTCTCCCGGTTCCTCAACACACTCAGGTACTATAATACTAATAACCACAGGGGGAGGGCCAGGGGTAGTGGGTCGATGGAAGGGGGAGGGGGCCGAGGGAGGGGTAGTGGGCCGAGGGATAACAATTTTATGGCTTTTTAAAATTTCGAATCAGCAATTTAAATTTTCTTCTGATTACAGGACAGGAAGTGAAACTACAAGATACAGTGCAAAACATGATGATACCTAACGTACTGAATAGCACCTCGCTTCCTAGCATCCAATCCTTGCAGTCAAGTTAGTTACTTTTTATTTTATTTTCAGTTGTTATACATATCACCACATAAATCTGTTTTTAGCTAGTTTGCCCAAATGCCCCATGCCACGAAGAGAAGAGAAATCGTACAGTTAGCATCATACAAAACATTAGAAGCACCATTTTACGAATCTAAATTATAAAATATTTATTTCTGCTGAGGCATGTTATGATTGAATTAAGTTTCTTAACTAGATGTGTCATCTCATTTGTCATGTACAGACGAAAATAGCTGGCCATGTAATGAATTGCTGAGTTTTTTGTTAACTAAGCATTACCTAACATCTTGCTGCATGTGTCGTGATCTTAATCAAGTAGTGCTTGTCAAACACATTTTTACATCGGTCTGTCCACATGATCAAGAGAGACGAGACAAAAGAAATACTCTTCTATCAGTGCACACTGATTATAGAGAATTATCTACTGTATTGTGATAACATTCTTTACTGCAGGTATTCAGCTGACTGCGCCGTCCGAGGAACCTCAGCAGGTCCCTCTCGTGCAGCCGATGCAGATCCACCCAGACCTGCAGAAGCAGCTTCAACAGCACCAGGAGGAACAACTCTTGTCAGTAGGACAGGAGAAGGAGGGGAGGATTGAGGCTAGAGAAGAGATACAGGGAGAAGGCCACCAGGAAGACGACGACGAGGAGGTCGGAGATGAGGTCAGTTTTTTCTCTCTTTATATTTTCATATAGCCTTAATTTTCTGGTGATCTCGACAAAGCGGGATCACTTTTAGAGTTTATTATTTCCAATTTCCATGCTGTTGATTTTCCATAAAAGTTATTTTCCCTTCCTCGCTTTCTCTAAATTTACACTTCTTTAACCACAGGACGAAGCTATTGGAAGTGGTGAAAATGGCGAGGGATCGTCTTAAGTCAATTGTGCATCAAACTGATGCTGCGGAACCGGGGCGAACTGGTCGGAGTGTACGTATGGGTCTCCAAGCATGTAAAGGAACGAGCAATATAAGACGCTGTTGTAAAAGCTATGTTGAAATTGTGTCACCAATTAGTGGTGTCATCTTTAGTGGTGTGCATTCACCTGGCCCGACCCTAGGTACTGTGAAGACTACCGCTCCTATACATGCTACTTGTACAGTGCCATATAGAAAGACTTTAGGAAAGTTTCAAGGAATGAAAACCGATCGGTAGTACAAGAGTAAACGTGTTAACCTTCTTGTAGGGGCAATATTACGAGGATACTTGTAATTCTTCCCATTCTTGCAATGCACTCCACTAGACTTGATGTCGGGTGACACGACCTGGACTGTTTGATACTTGCTCAACTAATTGGTATTGAGATTATGTATAAACATAGGACTTCCATCGCTGTCAGTTCACCTAGAGTAACCTAATATTCCCTAGTATTTAAGAAAAGATTATTTAATCCTGGAAGACTTCAGACGCAGAATTTCCCCTCAGAAACCCTACTATGCTTACCAACTGATTAAACATGAAGCAATTTTAAGTTAACTTCAATAATTTCTTATATCCTATTACTTCTGCTGGTATGATTGATTTAATATTATAAACGATGGTTCGGATGGAACGTTGAGACCGGGTTATTAAGGTAGACTTAATTTATTTGTAGGTTCGAGGATTGAACTCGCTCAAGGTTTAAAGTTTTGGTAGAATGACGAAACCTTTCGATTGATAGATATAGATACCTCAAGCAATTCGACTTATTTTATACAGCCTTCAGCTGATTCTAAAAAAGTATTGCCACTTTTACGACCACGCTTTGTAGTATTTGAATAGTTAAAAAACATGGGAAAGCACGATTCAATCGTCAAGCTTATTGATTCGAATAGGTGTTTATCTGCACTCTTAGCCTTGATAAGGAATATTGGTCGTAAAGGTAGCAGTAATTCTTATTGATGCATTTTAAAATCCGCTCTCACTTTTTAAAACACAATTTATTACTTTGCTAATTAACTTCTCTACAGTAGCTCCTAGCGTGGCTTTTCAAAAAATTTGATTATCTTCCTAATATAAAACTAGTAACTGTTGCCTGCCCAATAAATACGCTCTCTCGCACAGATAATTATAATAGCATCGGGTATTATTGGGGTTTAGCCATTTAGGCTGTTCACCGGAGCTTATGCTCTGGTACTTCATTTTTTGAAGTTTTTAGATTGATTTAATGAACTTTGATCCATGCAATATCGCATAGCCTCCAGATTATGTTGGCGTTATTGACGAAGGTCCTGCATCTTATTATAAGTTATAGTGTGCACGACATTTTTTGCTCAAAGGACTCTATTTTGGTACTATAAAGTCTAATTTATTGTCGTTGATGTGAATTTATTGTGAAACAGTTTACAGAAATTAACATGAGGTACGAACATGATTTTCAATCATGTTTTGTGAATGATGAAACTGAACATGCATTCTGATTATTCAAAGTTGAAACCAATTTTATTGACTTGTTGGTACCAAATATATTTCACCTCAGCCTGAATTCTGCTATTTGCAATAATGAAAGGAGTTATATTTTAACCTCTAGCCCGAACACGAAATTGATTTTAAAACAGTTGTCTAATTTGGAGGCTATGCTTCAAGTAATGAATAATTAAATAACATTATGAATAATCTCTTCACCTATCACTATATGATATCATACTATGCAAATTTATTAATGCAATCATTTAACGGATATTACTCCTGGCTGGGAAACGATGCACCTTTGACTTAACAGCAACCTACCCTACTTAACACATGTCACATGCTGTCACGTGTCAAAATGTTGGCTCCCCACCAGAAGTAACATCTACTGGGGGCTAGTCTATCAATATCATCCACGTGGCACGGGCTGGGTTTGGGATATTGCTTTGTTTATTTCCACTAAGTTTTCATCTGCCCAATTTGTCTGTTAGAAAAACAATGTAGTAATTCCCTCTAGAATATGTAGATAACATTCCCCTGGCTTATTATTTAGTTGGTGGAGTAATACTTGCCCTGAGCTGTGTTGAGTTTGTAATAGACTAATATTGTTTTCTTCTTAAGTGCGATCTGCTTTTCACATATAACTCTATTCAATAACCGATCATATTCTGTAAAATTATTAGTATGTGGGGCAGGATGGTTGGGTAGGGATGTTTGTGGATGTTATTAATAGCTGCCCTAACATATCAGTAGGCTAGACTTATTTTAGACGAGAGCGAACTATTTCAAGTATTTAAATCATGTTTTTTTGTATCTTAGGACTTCAATGCATTTTTCATCGAAATTCATCCGCCATTTTACTGCATGAGTATTCAAAACATTCTGCTACGCCACACTTCTCATTTAGTTCAATAATTCAAATTATTTTAATCCATCATCTGATTCGATTTTAAAGTTTTAAATTGTGGTCTAAGTTTACTGTTATGTTGAAACACGGGCATTGAACTGAAGTTAAATAGGATTGTAAGCTTTTAGATCAAGTATTCATTTCAAATTGAGTTGAAAACTCCACCGGTCTGGAAGAGTGGAAGTTATAAGAGCTTTCAATATCTTATCTTTACTATTATATATGTTACGATCAAAACAAACTGAAGAGCTTATGTTGTTTATGTTATCATCATAAACAAACTTATGTGTTACTTGTCGTTTGTTTAGGTCTGAGACATAGCGTGATCCTTTCATAATTGATAAGAAATAATTAATGTGTAGCATATGATAGTTTGATCAAGCTTGCAATCATTGATTCTGATTTTTCTACTGGCGACAACCTAACTGTCGTGTCGTAAACCAGGGCTACGAAAATAATTGATTTTATTGAAGTACATTTGTTTGTGCTCCCTCTTAACTGAAATAAAGGTATTAAACATAATTCATGATATAAAGGAATACAAGGAATACAAGGAATACAAGGAATACAAATTTAAAATCTTGAGCTACAATAGTAACTGTTAAGATAATAACAATATCATAAGATTTGAATTTATTATATTAATATAACTTAACTAAAGTGAAAAATAAAGATTTGACATAAAATATTTTGTTTTCAGTCGCCTTGGTAATGCTGTAATGCTTGAGCCAGGTCACTTTGCAGTTTGCACTCGTCGTTGCGCGAAAAGAAACAAAAGCGGGTACAGTGATTTTCAGTGTTCACTGTTCATGTACTGGCCAGAGAGTCAACAAATTTCTTGCGGTTGTTAAAACACGTAGTGGCAAACCTAGCAACGACTCTCGTGAGGTGGACTTGACTTTCGTTCGTGATAAGTTCAATGATTTCACTGTTGTTGCTGATGAATTTGAGGACGTTTGCTCCAGGGATGACATTGTGAACAGAATAAGATGTCGCAGACGGTTTGATTGGATTTGATATGAGTGACTGGATCTTGTCTAGGACTTTTCGCCTCGATGCAGCGTTAAGATCACAATGGTTAAGGAAGTGGTCTTCATTCTCAATAATACCAGAACCTAAGACTATATTGCACCAGGAGCATATTCGCTCGTCACGTGGAGTTTGATTATATCGGCCAAGTTCAATTTCGAGTCGATGTGCACTGATCCGCAGTCTTGTGATATTAGCACGGTCTGCATATTTAATGACACTATCTAGGTAATACTCTTTGTTAAATTTGGATTTTAGGTCACGATAGAATTCTAATTTCCGAGAAGTGTTGATACAGGACCCCCAATATTCTCTAAAATTACATTTCAAAGTTTTAGTAATGACGTGTGGTGTGAATATTTTACTCCCGATGGGTTGTGTTGATTGAGGAGGAATTCGTTTCTTGAAACCGTTGTGAATAAGAAAGTCCTCTTTTGGTGGTTTTGCGATACTCGGGTTTCTTTCGAAAAGTAACTTGGAGTGATTGTTTTTGAGTGTGCGGTAGGCTGTGACATGATCGGTAGAGAAACATGGGTCTAGCGCGAGGACAGGCTCCAAACCCCTGTACCAGTCCAATTTCATGTTCATTTGTTCTTTGAAAGCTAAGGAGACAAGGGAGTTATCTTTGAGATTTTTCAAACGTTGGCTATATTTGAGAGTGAGGTTAATACATTCATAGATTAATGGGTAGCGGCCTGACTCACCCCAGACGCCTGCGTTGCTGGCTTTACGATTTACCCCCAGTGACCATTTAAGAAAGTGAAGGTGAACTTTTTCGCTGTTCAGAAGGCTAATTTTCTTGAGGATACTAGTTTGAAATTTTGTTTTTGTGTCGGCATCCATATTGAGATCGACTTGTTTTGTTATGTGTTTTATGATAGCCATGTTAGGTGTGTAAATAGGCGCTCCGTAAAGAACGATAGGTTTAATAAGACCATCAAAGAGTGTTGTTAGAGAGCGGAATGATAATTTGGATTTGTTTACTGAGCTTTTCATGGCATAAAGTGCACGCATGGCTTTCTTTTTGAGCTCAGTTCGGGCATTTGTGAATGTGCCGGATTTGTGTATTTCGATTCCTAGATAGCAGTATGACTCGACTTCTTCTAACAAGTGATCACCAATTTTGAGGGGAACCGGCTGATAAGTATCAAAACGGGCATTAAATTTCATGAGTTTAGTTTTATCTGCATTAATTTCGACGCCCCATTCCAAGCAGAAATTGTTCAAAGCATCGAGTTGCTTTTGGAGGGTTTTGGGGTCCAGTGCCAAGAGTATCAGATCATCTGCCCATAGTAAGTGACTGATAAGTTGGTTCATTAGTTTCGGACAGTTATCATATTCTAGTCGAGGGGAAAGATCTCTGATGTATATCTTAAATAGATCAGGGGAAAGTGGATGACCCTGTTCAGTTCCTTTATTGATATCAAATTTTTCGCTGACAAATCCAGATAGTTTTATCTGGCCAGTGGAATTTTTATACATATGTTTAAGAACATTAAATGTTTTGCCAGTGATACCTAGTTTAGCTAATTTTAAGAAAAGAGCTTCACGGCAAACAGAGTCGAAGGCCTTCCGGAAGTCCACAAAAACAGCATAGACGGGAACCTTGAGCTTTTTGTATTTAGACGTAATGGTGTTGAGTGTGAGTATGTGGTCATATGTTTGAGCTCCTTTAGCGAAGCCAAGTTGATTTATGGGGTCCGGGTTGTATTCATTTTTGAACTTGATTATCCTGTTTAACATGATGGTCGAAAATAGTTTTCCGATTGTACTACTCACAGCAACTGCTCTGTAATTGTCTGGATTATCTTTGTCGCCTTTTTTGTGTAGGGGTGTAATAATGCTGTTGTTCCATGGGTAAGTTCCAGTGTCCAAACAGCGGTTAAAGACTTTGCAAAGGAGTTGTGTGTTTGTTGTGGACAAGGTCTTCAGTATTTCATTACATATCATATCCTCCGAGGAACTTTTGCCGTTTTTGAGTGAAGAGATCGCAGTAGATATTTCGTCCACAGAGATCTGGCCATTGAGTATTGATTGTGCAGGGGATGGTTGGAAATTATTGTTAATAGCCTCTGCATTTTGAAGCATTTCTTCCTTATTCTCTACAGTTATGGTGCTATGTGCATTGGCATAAAGTTTACCAAAGAATTTTTGAAAGTTGTCCATGTCATGGCAATCAAATTTGTCAACTCTTCCTTTAAATTTTTTCAGTTTTTTGAATTGTTTCCAGTTAAGAATTTTACCAGATTCAATATCTGTATTCAATTTGTCAAGATATTTGTTTTTTGTACGGTCAATTAAACTTTTGTACGTATTTTTTACTTGGTAAAAATTTTTTCGAAGATAATCGCTATTGGGGAAATCAGAAACAATTTGAGCTGCACGAGTACAAGATATTTTAGCTTCTCTGGTGGCTTGTGTGAACCAGGGTTGTTTATTTATTGATCCCTTTTTGGTTATTTTGGGATGTTTGGTCTTTTGGAGACATTTGTCTGCTATTTTGTTCAAGTGTACTGTGATATCTTCGTTTAATTTGTATGTACCTAGGAGATCTTCGGGATAATCTGTTTCTAAGAGGCTTTTGGAACATTCTTCCACAAGTGGGTCCATCATTGTATCCCGTAAGCTTGAAAGGCTATCAGGAGTTATTTTGTAACGAAGTGGGGCTCGAGCGTAAGTTTCATGGAGTGCCTTTGTGTTTACAAGAGTGTTGGAAGGAGAGAAGTTGAGTGCCAGGAGTAGTGGTTTATGATCAGAAAAGCAAGTGAACGGCTGGATTGTCATATGACTTAGATACTTACTGCAGTTTGGTGATATAATAAAGTAGTCAACAACGCTGGCACCGCTGGTCTGAATACAAGTGAAGTCACCATATGAGTCTCCTAAAGTTCTCCCATTGAGAATATGGAGTTCATTATTGACAAGCATTTCTAGAAAGGGTCTTTTGTAATTGTTCGACTTTTTGTCCTTTGAGTTCCTGGTTGGAAGTTCTTGTGGGGTGTAGTCTTCTGGCAGGGGAATGAAGCTCTCGTAGCCACATTTGTCCTCTTTGATAAAGTCAATGTCATGGCCGATACGCGAGTTGAAGTCACCACAAGTAATGACATCACCTTTACTTAAAAGAACATTGAGAAATTGGTCCAGTTCACGGATGGTGTCAAAGCCCGAAATATTTGAGTTTTTAGAGGAAGTGTTAGCTGGCTTAATGTATGAGTTAACAATGAATATATCATTATCTACGCCAAAGTAATTTTTGTCAAGTTTACAGGCAACAACATCTTCAATTATGGATTTTTCAAGTTTAACGCCTTTGGATATTTCGTTTTGGACCATTATGCATACGCCACCATGTTTTTTGTCCCGGCGGGTTTTATTGAAGGACCTGTAACCCGAGTGTTTGACAGGTTGTCTTATTTCTTGAAGGCAGACAATAGGAAACTTGTCAAAGACGGCACAAAATTGAGGGTCATCAAACTTAGAGCCAAAAGTTGTATTTGTTGATTGGATGTTCCAGCTTATAATTTTGGATTGTAAATTCATAGTATTTTTTCAAGAGGTTGGGTTGGTGGTCATGATTTGAAGACTAAAATTTAGACTGGAAGCTCATAAAGTGTGTTGATAAATACACTAAATAGCGTGTCCTACATTTGTTTAGGATCGGATGTATCGACTGTATTGATTATATATATATATTACTCGTCATACTGTTAAAAACAAATCAACAACCGATTTGATTCCATTCTTAAAATACGCGATTATGCTTGCAATAACTGCTATGTCGTAAGGAAGATTAGCAAGGACACAAAATATGATAATGTAGCGATGACTAGATAGACCACTTAGACTAGACATGTTGCTCTCAGTACCCAATATACCTTACATTATATATTTTAGTAATTATGATGTCACTTTATGTCCTATTATTACTGTTTCTTTTTATACCAGAGTTTTATTTGTTGTGTTAAACTTAGTCATAGGCGGAGTAACGGACCAGTAACATCCTGATATTATCCAAGGTCGTACATTCTTTGACGTTGTAGAGTCCTAATTAATGTTGATCCACTCCGCGCATGACTGTGTTTATTTTTATCAAAAAAATTGTCACAAATGAAAACACTTATATGAGGTGTTATCCTGCTCTTTTAAATAGAGAAAATCAAATATATAGAATAGATTTAAACAAAAATAAATAGACACAAAACATCAAAAGGGTGAGAACAGAAATACAAACATCAAGTAATGTCTACTTTACTAGCTATAAACTATCAGGTAATTACAAAACATTATCATATTATTTATTATCTTTGGGTATTTTATATCGGTATTTAAAATATCGTACATGAAGCCTAACAAGTCACAGTGTCATAATAATATGTCATAACATCCAATCTATAGAGCTAATATTTAATCTCCCTTTTCTTGACGTGATCGATTGCGAATGTGGCTATTTTCTTGAGGAATTTGGGATACTCCCGCTGAGATATGGCCCTGACGGCAGAAGCAGGAGCCCAGCCCCCTGGGTTTACACTTGCAGAGTAGACTATCTTGCAGCTAACATCCTTCCTCGTTGGGTCCGTCTTGTCACAGACTGTCTGACAAAACAGGACCACTTCTATTGTAGCTCGTGTGTAACCGGAGGTGCCTTCAGGGACCGAGGGGTGGTCACATGACACATTACACACGATCCAGCTAGGGTGCTCTCCTGGTATATCTAACTGAGAGGGTAAGAACTAAGAAATGTTAAATATTGTGGGGCATATTATAATACAATCAATATGTTAGGTTGCGAAAACAGTGCCATAAGGAAGACATCCATACCATACAGTTCAATGTAGGCGCAGTATATATATGTACATTTGTGTGTGCCACTTAAAAGTACAATTCTCTCTCTTTCTCTCTCTTTATTTAGTACGGGCCTTTAGGGGCTTACTGCGCATGTGCTCTGAACAATGTTCTATTACTGTATGGGACTATTATCAACTCAGTTTATGCAACTTTCGGAACTCAGTGAGGATTATATTCGAACAAAGAGATAATTGCTCATTACTAGCCCGTATGTATTGACTGTAGTTCTATGTATAGGAAAGAAGGTACATTGTAGTTAGACCTTGAGTAGGCAAATGAGCAGACTAACAAATGTTATGTACAATTTATTTGGCTGTAAATTACTCCAACAAATCGCTTCCTTGGAAAAGCCGTTATTACATTATTTTTGGAGCCGTGCCAGTAAGCTGTCAATCTGTTTAAAAAGTTACCCTTTGCTTGTGAGAAGCATAAACCAAGTCTCTTTGAGCTGTTGGCCACACTCTTTTAAGAATCTGATGATAAACTGCACAGTAATCATCCAATGTTTCCAGTTTCTTGTCTGCCTCTATCGTGTGGTCCCACTCCAGCTTCAACTTGCCGTTATGAAACACCTCCGACATCTCTGCAGCGGTGACCCCCTGTGGTTTCAGACTGTGAGACGGTGTCCACTTTATGTAACGGTCCTCATTATATGAGGACCGTTACATGCATATTATGCATTATAAAGGCCTTGGTACGGTGTCTCGATGTAGATATAAATAAGTGAATTTTGTCCCGTATAAGTAAGTACCTCTACTGTGGTGGTTGCAACCAAGTAATCCAGTAGAACACCATCCTTCTCTTCCTCTTTTCTGTAGATCTGGTGAGTTAAAGGTAAGTTAGTCTGGCTAAATAGCGGGAAGAAATGATTGAAACGCATTGATTAAAGGATTAACACCTATAAAGTACACGTAATATAAGAAAGTGGTATGTGATTATTCCTCTCACCTTTGTGACGCCGCTCTTCGACAGACACTGCCAGGAAGGCTCTGCTTCCGGGTCTTGTTTCGATAACTCCACATACTTGTTGATAAGCTCTTGCATCTGTAAATTTAACTTTGTTAGAAATGATAATAATGTGTCATGGGCTAAGCTTGAACTATTTTGGCGGTCTGAACTCTATACACAGGTAACGCCGCGCATTCAACATTTATGATCTCGAAGAGATGTACTTTTTCAGCACTCAAAAGAGTGCTATTTCATATTTACAGACACTGTAGTGGGCAACACTTTTTAAGCGCGCGCCATTAATTCTAACATAACAAAGAAGGAAGCGATTTGCGCGCACCGCGGGAACTTTATATTGCCCGATGTCAAGTGATGACAAACACGTGTTTTATTGTGCCTGAGAGTATAAAACTGGCACCTAGCAAGATAAATAAACCAAGCAGTAGGGAAATATTGCAAAATATTGGCAGGAAATGTTTAAGAATAGTTTCACGAGAAGAGGCCTTGGCAGGAGATTGTTTACAGCGTACACCTAACACCTTACGTGACATGCACATTTCTGAGCAGGCCTAGTAACTTATGATATGTTTCTGCTTGTTAAATGAAGAGAGAAACGGCCAGATATATGCGAATAAAGAGGGAGATGGGTATTACATAAATCAAAACGGTCAGAGAGTGGGCACATAGACGTCTAAATGATCAGGATTTAACGATGAACTGGTATTATCCTTTTAGAGACTCAAAAATTACCTACACTATACATTAACCAGGCCACTTACACATAGGATCAATACCGTACACTTAAACCATTTTATGACTCATCACTCATACAAATTTGTTGTCTTGGACAATGGTTTTAATCTCCGTACGAGTGCATGACACGTCACGTACGTAGCCACACAAACACTATTATTATTACAGCAATATCATTAGTATTATATTATACTATTGTGTTAAATCGTCGGTAAGCAAAGAGATTTAGAACCAGCTAGCTCGGTAAGTAAAGAGATCACTTAAAGTATATTTCACTACAACGCAGCTGGACTGCCCGGCGCACACATTCAGCTTGACATTTGATACACTAAATTACCTAATAGTTAGTACCTACACACAGTGCACTCTCTAACCTATACACTACAATAGTGTATTCCTTGTCGGAGAAACACATTTTGTCGTATAGCGTGTGTACTCCCTCGTATACACAAAGTGTACACTGTACAGTACTGCTATGATTGTTGACAGTAGGAATTGTGGAAATGTAGAAATGAGATTACAATTATTATTGAAAGATTTTGTTTGATCCTTTTTGGAATCGTTAACTAATCACTTACGTCTAATACGAGCGTGCTAAATCTACACTCGAAGTTCTAAAAGCCCCCCTACAGTTGAAACCAAATTGCATCAATGTATTTTTAACCCTGATTAGAGGTTAAAATGCTCCCCTGGCGAGTTATCGGCAAAAACTGTTTCGATCACGTGGCACGAACTTATAAAAAAGATGGTATAATTTGTCTTAATAGGGTTGGCATATACTTCAGTTAGCCGTTAGGGTTGCCGGTTGGAGTTAGAGTAGCGGGTTAGGGTCACGAATAGTCCGGCAGGGCCATCTAGAGAACGTGTTTAGGTAAGTCACGTGATAGTCGAACTCGTGTGTAGAATTTAAACACTGCTGCTTTTAATGATATAGAAAGATCAAATTTTCTGCCAACAGGCAAAGTTACGCCACTGTATCGGATCAGCTATCTGGAACAGTTATGCTGACGTGGACCAAAACACGGATACCTACACTTAACCTCCATTCCATTTCCTAGTTTAATGCCATCTACAATCTGCATTATACATCATGTGTTCCGCGATGAAAATGCAATGAATATTTAACCCTAGAGAGAAACTCGATCATGGTTCATGTTTCAGCACTGTGGCGAAATTCAATTATCGAACAGAAAACTGCCCAGTAATTTAACACGATTATCATTTTCTTTAGCATATATCTTGATATTCCAAGGTGCTTCCAAATATAGGCGCTCATGGTAGGACGATCGTCTGATCACAATTTCAGAAAAGTAACACAAATTGTAAGGAAATAATGTGTTGACAAAGTTCGGTCATTAAAGCGATAGCGACCATAAAGAAATAAATTGAATTTAGCCTCCTTAGAAACAAATACTGTATACACAGAATTGTAAATATGGCGTAATTCTTCTATCTCATTCCCATGCGGTTGAAACTTGAAGATTAATATTATATTAGACCAATAGGCACTAGGCGGGTACAGATCATGTAGTTAAATAAATCTATTGTAATTTTAGTGTAAAAAAATAAGCCGTAAATTCACAAATCTATCCATACTCTATCCCTTTGTAAATAATATGGACCAATGAAGTTTGACCGACCAATTTAGAAAACTGTGTTTACAGCACAAATCCACATAATATAAGCATAGTGATGATTTTTCTGATGTTCCGTAACAACTAAATTGGTATGATATTTGATAGGTTTATGTATATATAAACAATAAAGTTGTAGCAAACTTCGCCGAAGTTGGTTTACGAGTTGGTGACAATAAGAGGTCGTTTGCGATTTGATATACAAAAGCCAAATTCTAGTTATTTAAGATCCCCTAACCAAGTAAACCAACTTCGGCCGAAGTTAAAATCAGATCGTAATACATCTTGGTGACAATAATAGGGTAGCAGCTATGTGGTACGTTTACCTGGTTGCCATGGTGCAAACTGATAATGACAAGATAACAGCACTACAAGCTATTATACTACTTTAAGACAGGTCTCCGTACAAATTGGATACATTAAATTCAGAGAAGCTCTTTCCTCTTGATCGTTCACATATTCCGTCAGCCAATTTTAAACCCTAATCCCCCCTCCGTAAGGCTTGTTGGGATAGCTGATCAAATTAGTTTCATCGGGATATTTTGCGTACTCCTCATCCTACAGCCTCTATGTATCTAACCTGGGCTGGCCACGTAAACAAAATGAGTACTACAAATGGAACTAATTTGATTCCATGCTCTTCTCCTCGTTGAACAATTTTAAAATAGATTTAGTGTAAAAATTAACCGCTTAGGCTGCCTACGTAATATATGTGTACGACTGTAACCGATTAGTACGGGAGAAGAAAATAACTTAATTTCAATTCTTGATAAGGCCAAGGGGTCGTTCACATTTTACGTAATCAGCTGAGGGTGTAAAACTGATTACGGAGGGGAGGGGGGGGGGGATGTTCCAAAAAAATGATTACGTAATATGTGAACGACCCCTAACCTTAAACTAGATATGTATTATGTATGATAAAATCTCCTCCATAGACTATAAAGTATAAGTATAATTGATTATGACGCACCTTGGTCTGAGTATCTTTAACGGAAGGGTGACTGCTCATGGTGATATCGCAAAAAACAGACGAGAATTGAAAGATCAAACTAGAACTGACAGACTTTTCTACAGGTGGAGAGACAGTTAGGTCATGAAATACGACCCCTTCAAATAGCCAAGTAAAGTAATTCATTTTGGGTAAATGATATTCGAGACAGTGAAAATGTCACTGTTTGACATATAAGGTGATATATCGTATTATTTATGAGATAACGAAGAGATGTTAAACAAGAGCACCTGGACTTATCAAAACTTTTGACGCACATACTCATGACACATATCAGCATAATGTCATATTAGTCGACGATTTACAGCAAAGACTGAACTTATCATCAAATTAAAGATACGATTTACAGTACCGAGTCAACAACATACAGAGAATCTAAAAACACTGAGCTTGTTGCGCACAACCTAGCCACAGCCTAGCCAGTAGCCAATAAAGAATCACAAGATCAGAATGACGTCAATATACTATACCCACATTAACAAAGCTAGGAACAAGAATTTCTACATGTCTTATTTGATATCAATATGCAGGTTCCCGGGTTAAATTCTTACGGCATACTGACGTCTAAGGCCCTACTTGGATCTGAAGTTCAAAGTTAACCATGCCGCCCATCAGGAGATTATGTGAATATTTTAATATGCTCATTAAAATATAGGTATTATCACGCGATATCGTCTTATCGTCGAAATACCACCCTAATCATAATTGGTTTATCGGGCACTGTTTCGGTACCAGATATTATTTTACTGCCCTACAAATTTGAAACATAACTTGATCAGCAGTGTAATTGTTGCCTGGTTACACCTAGAACTTGTGACATTGATACCATTTCCATTTAAGACCCTAAGTGCGTCGACTTAATTTTTAGATAAGAAAAGAATAGATTGCACTGAAAGAGAACGAACCTGATTGTACATTCTGTGATCCTTCTTATCGGACGAAGTGTCTGGTTTCTTCACCTCAACCTCCAGATTTTGTAGTTTCTCTTCTAAGTTGTCCATCTTATCCAGTGTTTCCTCTATTGCGTCAAAGAATTCGTCTTCGTTCAAATGAGGCCCTTGCTGGGAAGGTTATATGATAAGTCAAGTCAAGTCAAACCAAGATGAACAGCACACACTGGACGATGTATGGTATGCAACAATCACTCCTCAATTAATCCTAAATGGAATGCAGCTTTTGAAGACAATTCATAGTAAAATTAGATAACATCACAAGATTAGATAACGTTACAGAAAAGTAACTTTTCCCAAGTTAAAAAATGCCGCTCTTACCGGAGCGTTGTGTTTGATAAGTTCGGTGTTTTCTCTGTTCGTTGCACTGTATAATATCTCAAGCTTTTGCGACTTTTCTTTCTCCTAAACGATAGACGAGTTAGGTATCGTATACATAGATCACGAAAACCAGATTTTGACCATTTTGGACTACGTTTACACATTTCTGTAGAAATAACACCACATCTCCCAGCTGCTTGCTAAATATGTAAACGATCCCTCAAGAGAAATCCCAAGATTTGGGCTTGATCAGTTTAATTGAATAATAAACATAAAGTCTCTTATTAATATAGCCCCTCGCGGCTTTGAATGTCAGGCAGAAAACGTGCAGGACACCTCGACCACCTACTCCACGATGACATCTAGTACTACTACTACAACTAATATATCCCCTGACTTTCTGTTGACCAGTCAACTTGGATAAGCTAAATAAAAAGCTTTAATAATACACATTTTCATTATTTTAAGAAGGTCTGGTGCCAGAGTAAGATCCCCCTACAGAAGAAGCTGAAGGTCTATGAGGCCCAAGTAGTATCTATCCTCATGTATAACTCTAGTTGCTGGGGAATGCCTAAATCGTACTGGGACAAACTAGATGCATGTCACCGTAACCACCTCAGAAAGATCATGAATGTCAGCTGGCCACGCAGTATGATGTCCAAAGATACCCTCTACAAACAGAGTAACTCTACCCCTATGTCTGAGCGTGCTGAGTTATCTAGGTGGAAGATGCTAGGACACATACTGAGGAGCGATGAAAGATCACCAGCTCAAGCTGCGCTGTGTTTTGCTGTCGAGATGTGTAGTGAAGTTGGTAGACTCGGGGCTCACAGACGTAACCTCCTACACCACCTGAAGGTTGACCTCTGGAAGCGTTTCATCTTGCTTGAGTCGTATGATGATATTCTTCATTTGAGAGAACTTGCTAGTGACCGTAGTTATTGGAGTAAACTGTTCGACTTTATACTTGGGTACAAGTCAATTTGACTTTTGGGACATATAATCTTACAAAGGATCACATTTCGGTTCTAAATTATTTTAGGATTGTTGACATTTGTAAGATTGACATGTTTGATAATAATAATAATTATTTTAAACTATTGTGGATGAACTAGCGTGCTTCATGACTGCTTCATGCATGTGCATAAAAAAGGCATCTCATTAGTCCTATTGCAGCATTTAAACAAAAAAATCTTTGTCACGTAAGCTTAAAAAATATTGACTTAAAAGTTTGATGACACAAATTAATACTATAATTTGGGAAACGAACAGCAAATATTTACAACTTGACGGGAAGATTGTACCGGACAAGAAATGGAACGAAGCCAAGAACAGAGTGTGTAATGTATAGTTAGGAGCGTGGTGACATGAGGCATAGTACACTGAGTACACACAAGCTCTTCTTAAACGAGCTCTGTGGTTCATCTAAACATGGGTATACACTATACAGTTGATCTATCCTGCACCGCTTGATTGTATACATCGTGGAAGTATGGAATTAAGCACCTGGCTCCTGTGCCTATAGTTACGTTGGTGCAGGGCGCTAAACCTTAGTTGTAAAGATAACTATGTGATTAACATTACCACATCGAATTAAAACTTGAAATATAAATCGTTACTTTTATGATGAATCTGTCCGCAGACTGCTATGTTGAAAAGCTGACTATATGGAGTATTAGAGTAGTACGCTATGTATTTTTGTCAAAAGCAAGGAGTTGCAAATGTTCTTACGCTGCACGCATATGGTGTAAATGAATAAAGTAGTGAACTGCCCTGCAACCAAAGATCTAAATATGCGACTAAAATAGCCTGATTGGGACAGAAGCGAGTACATACTCACACGCACACATACACACAAAGTCAGCGAGTTGCCTTATAGAGTATAATGCTTTGTTCCGGATGTGGGGGTAATTGCAAGAATAACACTGATTGGGAGCGTACAATGGTTGGTTGGAGAGATGTGTTTATCTTATAATTCCCGGAGTCCTGCAGTACACGTCACTTCCTTGTGTAAAGGTTGACGAGTTGTGAATAATTCACTCAGCTCAAACCCTCGCTACAATTGCAACGTGACGGTTATGTACCAGTTACCAGGTACATTGTACCTGGTGATGACAACTGGATACTCTCCAATTCTACAATTCTAATGTACATACATTAGACGTTAAGTCTGTATCTATCTACAAGGCTGGGTCCTCTCTAGGTACTTCCTACGAAATTTAATGTGGAGAAAATCACGTACGGTACTTATTCAGAAAATACGGCTCCTTTATCACGGCTGTTTATGCATAAAATCATTTTATGATGATAGAAATGTGCTTACCAAAATTAAGATATGACCATGTTAAAAGGTTGAAATTAAAGCCTGGGTTGGTTACAAATTATCGTCCAGAAGTCACCGGGGAAGCACCAATATTACAACTACATAACCACGAGCAATGTAATAGCTGATAATCAGGCTGACGAAGAATACTATACCATCGCTTGTATTATAACCTTGCTGATGGTACTACGGTCAAACGGTAAAGCGTATAATACTGGAACAGTTTAAATAACCAAAACGAGAGAATGTAAATTAAAGATGCAAAAGTTGCCAGGAATCTGGTCAAACTGGTTCCATTCAGTGAAAATTCACAAGAAAAGATGCAACCATGTGACGACTGACGGGAGTATTATTTGTGGCGGACGCAAAATGAAAAGTGAAGTATCATTGAAAGCTTTGATCTCCTAAACGCTGCCTTCTAATGTGGAGCCTCAACAGTTGATAAGTGGAATTACGAGTGTCATGGCTGGGTAGTAATTAGTACTATTAAGCACGTGCATGTACACGTGCGTCGTGCATGTTGCTGATACAATAGACCACACCTATTCAGATTAGCTTTACAATCGGTGAACAACGAAATTAAACAATCATTGTTTACAGAGACCAATAGTACGAGAGAAACAAAGCGTTCGATTAATTATCGGGGCTATCACCTTACTTTTGACTCGCCTCTTGGTGCTGAAAACTTAAAAGTTAAGTGCCTTTTATTTTCTCTTTATATTCATATTAAATCATCAAAAAACACAATATAAGAAAAGAAGCACCACCTGCTCAAGTAACTTTCCTCCTGGACAGAGAGGCCATCTATAATCTTCATTTTTAAACTGTACTTTGTTGGATGATGTGAAACATGATGATATAGATGATTAGTATTTTTAAAACGGTTACTCAAATGAATTCGGGCAAAATAGAAGGCCGCTGTATTCAAAATGGAAATGAAATGCAGTGTGGTAAAAGATGGCAATAGAAATGCCTATCAAAGATGAGATCATCATCGTGATTATACAATAGGTGTTGGAGAGACGTTTTGGTCGATGACGATCTTAACCTCTATACCACTCTCGGGGTAAATGAAAAATAACCTATCCCCTCCCCACCATTAGTAACCTTTTATGCACGTTTTATGGTGGATTACAGCTCGATATGAACTCAGATCACTACCAAATGCGATATTAGCTATGATATTATGTACATTTCTTGCACAATAACAAGCTAATTAACTGAAAGATTGAGGAAAGGGATAGGCCAGGTAAATTGAAGTACCCGGTATAGATAATAGAGGTGCACGGTATGTGGAGGTTTTTACTGTAGTTCTATATTTCGAATAGAATTTAGGATGTTGAAAAGTCTGATAAGGCTTATTTTAAGGCTGATGAATGATAAAACTGAACAATGTTGGTGGTGGTAGCACTATACAGCTAAATTACCTAACAATCAACATACAGATCTCAACTCTCCAGGCTCAAATCACGATAGATAAGTGATGAACTTTAAAAACGACTGACCTACTGACAAATGGCGCTATTATTCAGAAGAGAAGTCAGTACGTGCGCGTCTCAACCATGTGCCGAAAATGGAAATTTAACTTTGCATGATTTTCAGTTTACACGCCTTACGCAAACTAATGCCAACCAACCATGACCGATGTTGGTCATATTACGATCCTAGGCCTGGCAACAATGTTAGTAGATGTCAAAACGGAAATGATTGGATGTCGAATGGAAATCTCGGTGACGGGGATTTGGGCATTAAGATTCTTTAATGAAAATACGTTGGAAGAAATCTAGAAGCGCTGCTGCAGGGAAAACATAGGTTACATACCGAATAAGGATCAAGATTGGTTTACATAAAAACTTGTTACCCATTAGAGCATGCCACTCTTGCTCGCGTAAAAGGTTCAATTCAATTTAAACTTCAAACCGATGACACAATCTATCATTCATGAAATTATAAGCTTATAACATATAAATAATAGTAATAAATATAAATAATAATAATAATAATAAATAGCTTATAATACATATATATACATATATAAATCATAGGCTTGCTGTCAAGATGACAGCAAGGCTATGATAAAAAGGTAAAATAAATACAGTGTAAAATACAATTACAGTGTAAAAGTGTAAAATCCGAAAAGGATCACTTACCACAGCTATTTGATCCTGCCAATATTGCTCTCTTTCGTTAAACATTTCGATACAGTTGGTTGACGTAGCGACAATCCCGGACACGGTAGCCTGGATTGTCGCTAGTTTCTGTTTCAACTTGGGGGATTCTGAGGGTTCTGATATTACTAAGAGAGTGGTAGTCGGAGGTGATCAAAGTTCAAATTTTCTATTATTCAAATACTACAAATCATTAACTGGTCGGGTTTGAAGGAATTGCAGTATGTATTTTAACCCTAAAATGCTAAAACGGTGCATTAGCAAAGATTACCATGATTAAGAGTTGATCTTATCTCTGATAACTGTTGAGATAGACTGTCTTTAAAACTGTTAAGCTCATCTAGCTTGATATTCAGATCCGATAACACCTGAGGAATGGAAAGTAAATTTACGGTATTTTGTTTTCTGAGGAAAATCATATTTCTGAGGTGCCAGTATCACATGGGTGTATGAAATGACATGTGTAATATACTGAGCTCTATCTTGATGTTAAGAACTTCGCTTTTTCCAAAGTGCAAGCCATTCATTCCTTTTAAAGGAGAATATCCAAACCAGTCATAGCAACTGGCATGTGGTTAAAATTGAATTTAATTTGCAGCAACACCAAAATCACATTAAAAATCGTTATTATTCGTAGATTCGTATAACTTAAAGTAATACCATTAAATCAACTTTACGATAATCGTACGTAATATATCATCAAATACAACATTGTCCACCTTTAGTAGATACATATTATATAGTAAATCTACCTTATCATAACTAGCTCTAATTAAGAGTATTATATTATACATCAACGTACAATGTTTACATGGAAATACACGTTTACACAAACTAACGAACGCACCAAAGATTTGAAAGAACTGTTGTGGTTATACTGCCTCTCCTGGCTTAAATTATTGACTTGATTTAAACTAGTTGCTGAGATATACTGGGACCTCTTACAACGCCTGCTCAACCTTTTCTTTAGGTATCGATGTACACTGGACTGTTTCATTGCTGTTAAAACAAAACGTTGTTAATAAGCTAATTTCAATGCTGAAAAGCTTAATCATTATCGATATACAAAACTTACGAAACTAACTCCAATAAATAGCAGACTATGAATATAGTCACCTCATCATCGGTTTATTGACAAGATGTAAGTGAAATATTTGCTAGCAGAGATCAGATTACATTCTGCAATGTTTAAATCTGACATTCCATGAAGAAACTAGTCAAGCTACAGGGTAGGTAGGTAATGATATCCTACACTACGCCCTGAGAGTACTCGCAAACTGCAACTGAGAAAATGAAAGAGTAAAACAACTTGGCTGGTAGATAAGCTAACTCGTGATGATTTTTCTCATGCATAAATAGTATGACATCAGAAGTAAAAGACATCCTTCAGTGCATAGTGTGTCAATGCGAAAACCAAAGAAAAACATAATGCAGCTAGTTTAATACAGGCGAGCAATTTCTTATTCCACCGTGATCCTTCAACCAGTCCTAAGTCGGTACCAGATATTGACGCACAATTCTCATACTGATCTCGGCTGCTGACGTAATACGTAGACAATTCCTAACTATTCAATACAAATTAAAGTACAATACACAGCAAATCTGACAATCCAAACTGATAACATGTTTTGCGAGACACAACTATAAATCGTTCCTACGCAAGAAAAGTTTTAAAAACTTTCATTTGAACATTTCAAGCAAGGGATCATGTAAAAGTAGCGATACAGCTGCACAGTTGAGCTGTTACCGCGACGTGTACATCTCGACACTCAACGAGTGATGTGCGTCATCTCTCAGAGCAGCCGATACAAATCTGTGTGTGTGTGTGTGTGTGTGAGCTCAGTTCATTCAGCAATAAGGACAGCTACAGTCAGCGTGCCTTTAATTAATAGTTTAATTAAGTAATTTTAAGCTGCAGGAGTGTCGGTAAACAAAGCAATATAAAATATTGACATCAAACTTATAATGCAATCGAGTTAACCAAAATATTTAAAATGTCAATTAGAATGTGACCACAGCTTGAAAATTCACAAAGAGATATCAGAGAAAGAGATATCAGATACTAGGGCACACTAACATGAACAGTGTTATCAGTTGGTCGAATAAAATCTTGCTAGAATAGTCTATTTTATCATGTAGATATCATGTTAACAACACAACTAGTGAATTCTACTTATCAAACTTTACAAATATTTGTATAATGTATAATGTATATATTAATTTATAAATAAAGGTTACTTAGGTTATGCTGTGTAAGTGAAAATAAGTAAAGGCTTGACCATCATAGGATCCCCGCAAAATATACCCCAACATTTCAACACTCTCTAACGAGTTCACTCAAACTGATTATAGTTATAAATTACAGTAGTCCATCTGGAACAGGTGTAGCTACAAAACATCACAAACGACTCAAAGGGAACACTTAACAGGGGGAACATCTTACAGCACTCAAATTTAAGCTACAGTGAATAACAGAGATAAACTTATATTATATATCACATTGTTTGTTAACACACATGAAAAATAGTCAGCCTCAAACACCAACTACAACAACAACAAGGGACACACAAAAGAAGGTACAGAGGGATGGTAGTATGCAGTCTAACAGTCTACAAATGTTCAAACTCCGGTGTGGTTTAAAGTGTAAACCCCCGTGTATACTGTATACCCCAGCGTATTATACAGTGTATTATAGAGTGTAGTCTTCAGTGTAGTCTCTACAGTAGTTTCTGTGTAGCATCCAGTGTAATGTAACGAGTGTAGAATTTGTTGTCTTTATTTAGTTTCCCGTGTATCTCACATCAATCATTATTTGTTATACATTAAAGAATACATTAAAGAATGGACAAATGCGTCCAGAATGAGAGATCAGTCTCAGTAAGCTGACCATGTTCCTTACTTTAACAGTAAGCTGACCACAGTAAGACCTCAGTAAGCTGACCATGTTCCTTTCTTTAACAGTAAGCTGACCTCAGTAAGACCTCAGTAAGCTGACCATGTTCCTTACTTAAACAGTAAGCTGACCACAGTAAGACCACAGTAAGCTGACCATGTTCCTTTCTTTAACAGTAAGCTGACCTCAGTAAGACCTCAGTAAGCTGACCATGTTCCTTACTTAAACAGTAAGCTGACTACAGTAAGCTGACCATGTTCCTTACTTTAACAGTAAGCTGACTACAGTAAGACCTCAGTAAGCTGACCATGTTCCTTTCTTTAACAGTAATCTGACCACAGTAAGCTGACCATGTTCCTTACTTTAACAGTAAGCTGACCACAGTAAGCTGACCATGTTCCTTACTTTAACAGTAAGCTGACTACAGTAAGACCTCAGTAAGCTGACCATGTTCCTTACTTTAACAGTAAGCTGACCTCAGTAAGACCTCAGTAAGCTGACCATGTTCCTTACTTAAACAGTAAGCTGACTACAGTAAGCAGACCATGTTCCTTACTTTAACAGTAAGCTGACCACAGTAAGCAGACCATGTTCCTTACTTTAACAGTAAGCTAACTACAGTAAGACCTCAGTAAGCTGACCATGTTCCTTACTTTAACAGTAAGCTGACTACAGTAAGACCTCATTAAGCTGACCATGTTCCTTACTTTAACAGTAAGCTGACCACAGTAAGCTGACTATGTTCCTTACTTTAACAGTAAGCTGACCACAGTAAGACCTCAGTAAGCTGACCATGTTCCTTACTTTAACAGTAAGCTGACTACAGTAAGACCTCAGTAAGCTGACTATGTTCCTTACTTTAACAGTAAGCTGACCACAGTAAGCTGACCATGTTCCTTACTTTAACAGTAAGCTGACCACAGTAAGACCTCAGTAAGCTGACCATGTTCCTTACTTTAACAGTAAGCTGACTACAGTAAGACCTCAGTAAGCAGACCATGTTCCTTACTTTAACAGTAAGCTGACCACAGTAAGCTGACCATGTTCCTTTCTTTAACAGTAAGCTGACCACAGTAAGACCTCAGTAAGCTGACCATGTTCCTTACTTTAACAGTAAGCTGACTACAGTAAGACCTCAGTAAGCTGACCATGTTCCTTACTTTAACAGTAAGCTGACCACAGTAAGCAGACCATGTTCCTTTCTTTAACAGTAAGCTGACCACAGTAAGACATCAGTAAGCTGACCATGTTCCTTACTTTAACAGTAAGCTGACCTCAGTAAGACCTCAGTAAGCTGACCATGTTCCTTACTTAAACAGTAAGCTGACCACAGTAAGACCTCAGTAAGCTGACCATGTTCCTTACTTTAACAGTAAGCTGACCACAGTAAGACCTCAGTAAGCTGACCATGTTCCTTACTTTAACAGTAAGCTGACTACAGTAAGACCTCAGTAAGCTGACCATGTTCCTTACTTAAACAGTAAGCTGACTACAGTAAGACCTCAGTAAGCTGACCATGTTCCTTTCTTTAACAGTAAGCTGACTACAGTAAGACCTCAGTAAGCTGACCATGTTCCTTACTTAAACAGTAAGCCGACCACAGTAAGACCTCAGTAAGCTGACCATGTTCCTTACTTTAACAGTAAGCTGACCACAGTAAGACCTCAGTAAGCTGACTATGTTCCTTTCTTTAACAGTAAGCTGACCACAGTAAGACCTCAGTAAGCTGACTATGTTCCTTACTTTAACAGTAAGCTGACTACAGTAAGACCTCAGTAAGCTGACCATGTTCCTTTCTTTAACAGTAAGCTGACTACAGTAAGACCTCAGTAAGCTGACCATGTTCCTTACTTTAACAGTAAGCTGACCACAGTAAGCTGACTATGTTCCTTACTTTAACAGTAAGCTGACCACAGTAAGACCTCAGTAAGCTGACCATGTTCCTTTCTTTAACAGTAAGCTGACTACAGTAAGACCTCAGTAAGCTGACTATGTTCCTTACTTTAACAGTAAGCTGACCACAGTAAGACATCAGTAAGCTGACCATGTTCCTTACTTTAACAGTAAGCTGACTACAGTAAGACCTCAGTAAGCTGACCATGTTCCTTACTTTAACAGTAAGCTGACTACAGTAAGCTGACTATGTTCCTTACTTTAACAGTAAGCTGACCACAGTAAGACCTCAGTAAGCTGACCATGTTCCTTTCTTTAACAGTAAGCTGACCACAGTAAGACCTCAGTAAGCTGACCATGTTCCTTTCTTTAACAGTAAGCTGACCACAGTAAGACCTCAGTAAGCTGACCATGTTCCTTTCTTTAACAGTAAGCTGACCACAGTAAGACCTCAGTAAGCTGACCATGTTCCTTTCTTTAACAGTAAGCTGACTACAGTAAGACCTCAGTAAGCTGACCATGTTCCTTACTTTAACAGTAAGCTGACCACAGTAAGCTGACTATGTTCCTTACTTTAACAGT